GGGCTCGGCCTCGGCGACGGAGGCAGAGTCACGCAGCGCTCGCCGCCGCTCCCCGCCACTCCAAGACGCAAGACGCCGCACGACGTCGCAGACCGCAAACGTGAAAACCAAACTTATTTAATTCCATGCACCGAGGGCTGTGTTTAGAAGCATATTTCGTCGTGTTAGTGGCCATATCGTATGTGTACCCATTCCATCGAAAAAAGAAAAGGATTAGAGGTATTTTAGTCCAAAAAGCGATATATTTTCGTAAGCTTCTCGTGAAAGTCGGGCCAATCTTTTTATTCTTTGCTTTGTGGCCCTTTTATTTTTGTAACAGATGGGTTTATTTGTTTTTTGTTTTTTTCTTGTTGAGAGAATGCGTGTATGTTTGATAACGAGTGTTTGCTGGGCCGTACAGGCTTTCAGTATTCCATTGGAATATTTGTTCAACTTTCCTTTTTCAAAAATATAAATATTAGAGATAAGTCCATGTTTTGTTATAAAAGACTATGTCGCCTAAGAGGCATCCTGTTGTAATATTATCTGCGATGTCTTGCTTTGATATGCCGAAATAATACGAACTACTTTGTTTTTATCTCTGCTGTGTACACTCATTCCGTTCCAGAGACGTGGCGTGGGCGGTGCGTCGCGGCCCCGACCAGCGAGGCCAGCCCTGACCCTGAGACACACTCCATCCACTCCACCGTCGGGCCGTCAGGTTATTCGCCAGAAGACAAGTCAATCAAACTTTCCACCCCACTGGCACCGACAGCACGCCGTTTGCAGGCTGCAGCACGAGCAAGTTAGATGACCATGACCAGATTCACGCACCATTTCGGCTCTCTTCCACTTTTTTTTCGAGGCTCCTCGCTGCCTGCAATCCCAGCTGCCAGGCTGCGCGCGCCCCGCCGGCTGCAGGCGTGGTGCATATTTCATGCAGGGTGGTGGCCCCGGGCTGCGCGGCGGGCAGTGCACCGTCAAGACGCGGCGGGGCGGGGCGGGGCGGGGCGGGGCGGGGCGGGGCACTGGCTGAGCGACAAACGCAGTGTTCACTGTGTAGGTTGCGTCGCGTGGGACAGGACGGCCCGCTCATCCCGGATCAGCCCCTGGCCGCCCCTGCAGACTGATTCCGAGAGTCGTTTTCGTCGCTTTGTCTCTCTCGCACCTGTTGAGGACGCCCTATGAGCACGAGAGAGACAGAGCGACGAAAACGACTCTCGGGATGAGTCTGCTGGCTACACGTGCAGCACGCCCCACATGGGCGGACGCGCCAAGGACGGCGAGGCAACGGGAGCAACTGACCTTTCGGTGGAAAACTGCCGGTCTAAAAGGGAGGGGAGGTGGAAAAGCGGTGCCAGCCGGGGGGCAGGGCAGGGCAGGGCGTGAGGACGAGGGGAACTCTTTTGCCTTTTCACTGGGGGAACAGGATGTCTGGTGCGTAATATACTCCCCTCTACTCTAATATCCCATCACCGCGCGGTGACGTGTCGAGTGGGTGGTCTACCTTCACGGCGCCAATGTTTTAAGTAGCGTTCAGGGAGCAAAACGCTTCTGCTTACGGGCTCGAAGGCTTCGCCTTGAGCTAGTAGGGCCCGAGCCTTCAACTTTGCCCTCATGTACGCTCACGTTTATAGCGAATTCGCATTAATGCTGCTTCATAATAACGCCCCAAAATAGGCAACCCACACGGCAGAGCGCCGCTTGCTGGGAATGGAACGCGTCGACGCCCCTGGCGTTGGCGGGGCGGGCCGGCGCGGCAGGGCGCTTCGGTGAGGGCTGATTAAAAAAAAGGAGCGCTGCGCCGTCCCCGCGCCGCCCCCGACGAGTACACACCGGCGGCCCTGCCACGGCCCTGCCGACCTTGAGGCGGCGGCAGCGACGCAGCCCCGCGCAGCCCTCGGAGGCAATCGCGAATCGCAGTCCTGCAGACTCATTCCGAGAGTCGTCGCTCTGTCTCTCTCGCACTCATGGGGCGTCCCGGATGGGTGCGAGAGAGACAGAGCGACGAAAGGGACTCTCGGAGCCGGAAGCGCGCCGACCACTACACCGCCACGCCGGTAGGGAGGCACCGCCCGGCACCGCCGCTCCGGCAAGTGGCCAACTTCTTCGGACCGCAACTTTCCGCGCTGATACAGTCTTACACGGCGCGGCGCGCGGCGTTTGGCGGCGGCCTGGTGGGGCGTGGCGGACCGCTGCGGCCGCGGCCTCCCCGCCGGACCGCGACAAATATTTGAGTTGGCTGTGCGGGCGTGGCGGGGCGCGGCGGGGCGTGGCGGGGCGCGGCGGGGCGTGGCGGGGCGTGGCGTGGCGGGGCGCGGCGGGGCGGGGCGTGGCGGGGCGCGGCGGGGCGTGGCGGGGCGCGGCGGGTTCACTGGCGCGCCCTTCTCGGAGTGTGGCACCAGCACGGCGGCAATAATTGACGAACTTGAAGGCACGCTGTTGGACTTGCGCACCTCGGGGACCGTCGGGGACCTCGAGGGAAGGGAAGGGAAACTAAACGCCGCGACGCCAAGCTCTGCCAGCAGTGCCAGCGGGCCATTATTAAAATGTGGTCCTCACGTCTCTCTTCTGGCTCAACGGCGAAGCGAGGCTGTCCCCGCGTGACGACACGCTGCTGCTGGCAAGACTCGCAAGGCGTCCGAGAACGCCGGGAAGGCCGTGGTGTGCCACGTGCAGTGCGCGGTGCGGCACGGCGCAAAGGCTTGCCCCAGGTTGCTCCGCGCGCACCGCGCGCCCCTCGCCGCCCCGACCACTTTCATGTCCTCTGCGAGACGTCGCGGGTAGACTGCTGCTTCGCCTGCTCCGCGCGCAGCACCGCGGCACCGCCGGTGGTTCCGCCTCGCCGCGCCTCCGTCTGCCTCGTCTCGGTCTCCTCCGTCTCCGCCGAGAGGCAGCCAGAGGCAGCACACTGATCCAGAGACTCGTCGCTCTGTCTCTCTCGCACTCATGGGGCGTCCCGCGCAGGCGCGAGAGAGACAGAGCGACGACTCTCGGCATCAGTCTGCAGCGCGCAGAGCGGCGCGGCGCGGCAGAGGGGCCGAACCAAAGGGGCACCGCGGGCAGACCGGGCAGAGCCACACAGATAACAATCCGGCCAGGTGGCGCTGTGCGTCGCCAGTCGCCGTGCATGGCGTGGCGGTGTGTCCAGGCCGTCCAGGGTGGCCACTCCTATTATGCACGCTTGGCCTCGCCATCCCAGCCATCCCCCACAAGGCCCCCTCCAGGGCCCCCTCGGGCAGGGCGGACTGGTCGCCTGGTGGACGCAACGCAGCGGGCGCCGTCCTCGCCGTCCTCGCCCGACGAACCGGGGCAACCGGGGGAACCGGGGGAACTGGGGCGGAAGGCGGGAGAGAGGTGGAGCGTCGACGGAGCGCTAACATTAACCGAAATATTTTTTCGCCGCGCTAATTCGTAATCCGCTCCGCGTCCGCTTCCACCTGCGGGAAGGCCGTCCGTCTTGTTAGCAGCGCGGCTTAGTCGCGGATTCCCGGGTTCAAATACTGCGCCAAGAGGATATTATTTCTGCGCGGGAAGGTAATGCCTCCCCCTCCCCTGCCCAAAGTGTCCGTGCGGTGCCCTTGAGGGGGTTGAGTGGAGAGGAGGGAATGGAGACAATCTGTGTCGTCAGTTTGGATCAAAGAAAGCGCCGAAGGAGCGGAGAAGAGAACACGCCGCCGTCGTCCTCGTCAACGTGCCCGCCCCGTAACAACCTCGTCACTTTTTTTCCCTCGCCCTGACGACAGGACGCAAAAGTATGGCCTAATTTCGTTGGCTGCGGCGGGTAGTCCGCCTCTATGGTATAGTCCGGCTAGAGCTGGGGCCAGAGGGGCATCTTGAAAGGACAGTGGGCGGAGCGGCGCAAGGCAGGCAAGGCGCAGGCTGTGCAGGCAGCGCAGGCCGAGCGGATTCAAAGGAGATCCCCTGCAAACGTCAATCAGAGCGTTCACCATCTCAGCGTCCTCGTCAACACTTCACAGCGCCCATGAATAACTCGGTGATTTCTTTGCAGGCGGCGTGGCGTGGATGCCACCTCCCCTCTCCCCTCGGCCCGAATGCAGATGACTTGAAGCCTCCATGGAGCAGAGTCCCGAGAATCCCGTTGTGCTGATCACAGCGAACCTGGAGCCTCGCCGGAAGTGGGAGGGGTGGGAGGGAAGGGGGCAAGCTGTTGAATCCCCTAGCCTCCTTCCGGCTGCGGCCGAGCGAGCCGAGCCACCCGAAGGGCCCGAAGGCTTCCGAACACCACTTTCCACACACACGAAGCGTTCGCCATCGGCTGAGAGAGAAAGGGGAGTGTCCGAGTACGAGTACAACCGTCACTGTCATTGTGTCAGTCAGTCAATCGTCTTTGACGATCAACCGATTGCTGGCCGCTCGGACAGTCGCAGGGGCGGCTCTATAGAATTATTTTCCAGAGGGAGGCATGTCACAGTTTTTGCAGGCATTCCCTCTTCCCTGTCCCGTCGTGTTACGAGGATGAGCGGGTACCAGCCAGAGACTCAGAGAGATTGAGTGCCGTAGCAGTTGTGGCCCGTGTTTCAAATCAGAAAAGGGTATGATGAGCGCGAGTGGGGATCGAGGGGGGCGAAAAGTCGCCAATTTATCCTTACGAAATTAACAGCGCCACCACCACCAGCCCCTTCCCTTTTCTCGCGAGATACGAAGGCGCGTGAACAGCCGCCGCGTGCCGCACGGTGGCAACCCCTCGTCCCGAAACAAAGAGAGCGATGCTGGCGTGGGGCTGTGGAGTGGGGGCGGTCGGGGACTGCTCAGGGGGCAGGGGGGGCACTCGACATCAGCTGACGAAGCATGGGGCACACTAACGCCGCATAGTGGCGCAGGGGAGGGAAACGGGGAGGGGAGAAGAGCTCTGTAACAATTTTAATGACGCCAAAAATCAAAGGCAAGACCATCTCTCCACCGGTAGCGTCGTTTTTCTTTGGTCCCAGTTGTTTCGAAGGTAGCGAGATTTCCTGTAGAAAGGCTTTTAAAGGGGGTTCCAAGTCCAGGACACTGCATGGGTTTATTCATTTATTCAGATGCAAGGTACGGCAATAATACAAAGAGCACAATCGGCAGTCAGTAAGGGCTCACAAAAATAGAGGGAGGGCACCATACAAATTTATAATTTCAAGAATAAATATTTCTCACTGATACATTGAAAGATATTTATCAGGCTTCATACAATGTAGAAAATACATTACAGTCAATATCACAGGTGTAATTTTCCAACCAAAGGATCCATCACCAATTAAATAATTATTTCATTTACATCCACCACACTTATAAATTTAAAAAATGTGAGAATAAAGTTTTTGCTCTGATTTGAAAGTAGTACACATGTGTTCTGCATACATTCTTTATACAATAAAGTCAGCACACAAGATACAACAGAAAGGAAACAACACATCACTTAGAGCACAAAATGTTAAAATACAAGGAGTGGAAGACAAATATACAATTTAAACGAATAGAGTTGCATCTTACTCATGATGGAAGACTGGATCACATGACTTGAACTCGACATTACAAGATTGGCAGGTGGATGGATTTTGTTTGGTTTCTTTGACTAAACAAGGGCGGCACAAAAAATGTTCACATGGCAACTTATACAGACAGCTGAGAGCCTTACAGGAACCACATTCTATCTGAACAGTCATTGGTGTAGATGGATTAACAAAAGATGGCAGGCCTGATAAAACTGCTTTTAGAGCAGAATCTAAACTATCATCAAGTTTCTTCTCATGAGTTTTCAGATCATTAACAGGTTTAGAATTATCACAGGGCGTGATGCAGATAACATCATCCTCACAGTCATTGTCTTCCTTAATTGTCAAAGATTCAGTCAATCTTGGCTTCTTTGACACAGTGGAAGTGACTGAACTCTTGTTTTCAGCCTCAGTTTTACTGTTACAACTATTAATGCTAGACAAATTTTCACTAACACTTATACTGAGGTGTGGTCTGTACACATTGGCACTAGTCTCTCCTGAAAGAAAAGCACTGGTAGATGTAGCCACAGCTGTTCTTTTCCTACTGGTTGGAGCCGAATCAAAACATACTCGGTTGCTGCGGAATCTGCTCACACTTTGATGGCAAACCTGTGGATGAGCACGGCCAACAGTTCGAGGTACAGTTTTCAGATCTTTGCGATCTTGATTTAAGAACAGAAAGCGATCAATTCTGGCTTTCAGAGCTGAATCAATAACTGGGCGGCATCCATCACTAAACATAAGGCCAGTGAAAGGATCACTTGGGTGGCGGCCCCAGTTGGCCTCTGCTTGTGCATGGAGATCTAATGTTCGCTGGTCAACAACCTTGCCACTTGGTAAGACCATTGGCAATGCCATAATTTCTACAGTGATGGCATCAAGAAACTCTTCGGGAATATCAGGAAGCACAGACATATCAAGCTTCTTAGACAAAACAGGGACAACCTCTTTAGGAATTGCTGGAAAGGAAGAGACCAAACAATCAGAAACATTATTATAGGTAACAAGAGGACAAAGGGCAATAATAAATGTAAGTTTTACCGTCTATGTGACCAGCATCAGAGGACTGTTTCTGTTGAGCTGATATCCACTGATTCATGATTTCGGATACTTGACCAGGAGGAATGCAAGAACTCGGCCCTCCCCATATTTCTATGCTGCCAATGGCAGGTACTGACGAACCAAACGTCCTAAATATACGTATTGTTATGGAAGATGCGTGGGCAATAACTGATCTTTTTTTCCACATCAAGGACCGTTGAATGAAACCTGCTTTGGTATTGGGCACAGGAGTTGGGCTGTGGCGGCCATACTGTAGGGGACAGAATGCAACGACACCTCTTTCTCCTTCATTCAGGAAAACTGAGACTATTCTCTCAGATATGGGTGACAAGAGTAAGCTTGATTTGGACTGGTGCTTGGCCTCAGATGAGCCAGAGCACAGTGAAGAATTATAAGGGACAGAAGAGGAAAAAATATCCAACCCACTTGATTTCTGTTGCCCCACCTCTGCCCCAATTTGGATGTATCTGATATTTGCATCAAAGGGCAATTTTAACGTGATCTCCACGGGAGCTTTGATGAAGCGGTCACACAAAAATCCTGCTTTCCTCTTTTGAACATCATCTGATAAGAGGTTGGTCACTTCGTAACCTTCGCTCGTCACCGTGTCGCAAGTGACAATAGTCTTGAAGACCGGATCACACAAGTTAATCAGTGCCGATGATGAAGTCAAGGTCGCCATGGTGTTGCAGTAGACTTCCTCCGACCGCGCAGAAAACTACGACCGGCCGCTACATTTCTAGTGAACTCTTTCCCTGTCACTTGCAAGCCACTTGCCCAGCAAGCTGCAGCTGTGTTCAGTGTTTACATATCAGTAGTTTACTTTCTGTGAACAGCTGACTGGCACCAAGAGCGCCATCTAGCGGATAAGTTTGAAACCGCCGCGCCGACAGATGACAGCTGGTATGAGAAATCCACGCGGCAGAATGGGAAAGGGGAGGGGGAAGAAAGGGGAGGTTGGAAGGGCGTCAATGTTGTGGCAGGCCAGGCTGAAGTTGCGTAGCGCACTGGAGATGTTTATCTGGAAATGCAATCTCAGCTGTGCATGATCGAACAAAGTCTGCTGGAGAATCACATGACCCTGTGAGCTGTAAAGAGGGTGGAGCCCCGACCATTTGTTCAAAAAAGAAGTCTCTGTATTGAATCAACTGCTTCGTAAGTACGAGGAGCATTGTTTGCTGTGCGCAGTAGGGTAGTGCGGGTTTCGCCATTCGCAAATTCAACGAGATGAAACCCTTCATTGTGCCGCAAAGTCTTAGAGGGTCTCCGAAATAAGCCGCGATCTGCCGAGCTTTCCGCGCTCACCTCTCTTCTGTTGTTAGTCTCTTTATTGCTGTTTTCTTTTATTGTATTTTTAATCTTATTATCTGCTTTGGGGGTGCTTTAATTCATCATTTTCTGTTTTTGCAAGTCACTTTGCGCATGTTCTTTGTTCATCATACTCTATTCTCCACCCGTCCCAGAGTGAAGGCCTTCCGTCTATTACGGCTGATTTTGATTCAATTATGTAGATTCATTTTCTTTCGTTCCAGGTTTTCCCTGCAAACATGGAGTGGACGCCTTATCGAATATTTCTGGCATTATTGCTAGTTGTAACTGGCTCTATAAATACGTTGAGCACAAAGTAAGAATGCCTATTGTAATATTATGCATGATCTGTCGGCTCATTATCTAATTTTTAAATTACCATTTCACTCGTCTTCTTTCTTTTCAATTAGATGGGCTGATCGTATGACCTCTGTAGGTCTGGATGGTGAAAGTAGACCATTTGTTCACCCATTCCTCCAGGCTAGCACCATGTTCCTTGGAGAGGTAGCTTGTCTTGCTACCTTTAAACTATTGTACTGGTACTACTCTCGAAGACAGGTATGTATGATCTAAAGTTTGGTGCCTTCACAAAATTTTCATATTGTTATTTTAAAGCAAATTTTATTTTTAATCATCAGGATGGTTCAGAGACTCGTGAAAAAACTACATCAGGAAATACCAACTTCAGAGCTCTTATTTTGCTTCCCCCTGCAATGTGTGATATGATCGCCACCTCAACCATGTATATTGGACTTAATCTCACCTATGCTTCATCATTCCAAATGCTGAGAGGTACAGTAGTATTGTCGGTGGGAAGTAAACTATTATTTATTTATGCTGACAACTCTCTTAATGGCTTTCTTTGAATTCCAGGTTCTGTTATTGTCTTTGTTGCAATCCTTTCAATTGCATTTTTGGATAAAAAATTGAGAGGTGTGGAATGGGCTGGAATTCTATTTGTCATTAGTGGCCTGACCGTTGTGGGCATGTCTGACTTTGCTTCTGGATCATCTCAGGAACACAAAGACACGAATTCCATCATTACTGGTCAGTAAAAATCAAATTCACGTCGAAGAAAACGTTTTTCTTGTTTTTCAAATACATTATGACAAGTTGTATGCCAGAAACTTGTTTTATATGTTACATTTTATTTCTGTTCATATAGGTGACCTTCTAATTGTTGCTGCTCAAATCATTACTGCATTCCAAATGGTCTATGAGGAAAAATTTGTTAAAGACAAGGATATACCTGCTCTCATGGCTGTTGGTTATGAAGGTGAGTACATGTTGTTTTATGAATTCTGACCTTCAGTGTGGTCTTGCCCACATTCTGGCAATGTTATGTTTGAAAATTGTAGGATTTTGGGGCTTTGTTGTGCTGGGAAGTTTATTGGTGCCCTTCTACTGGATTCCTGCCTACCCTCCATTCAGTGCAAATCCAAGAAATGTTTTGGAAGATACACCTGACGGCCTTGTACAATTGTACAACAATGGATTCCTTCTGTTAGCTATGCTTGGTATGTATACAGAGTTCTTTCAGTGGCTTCATAATTTGGAAACAACCTTTTATTTTTCTCTTGGTTCTGTTTTCAGGTACATTTGTTAGCATTGCTTTCTTTAATTATGCTGGTGTTAGTGTTACCAAGGAAATGTCTGCTACAACTAGAATGGTGTTGGACAGTGTCAGAACTCTAGTTATTTGGATTGTTTGCCTTGGTCTACGCTGGCAAGATTTCAACTACCTGCAGGTATGGTTAATTTTCAATCATTTTATTTTGGGAAGGTTGTGTGCAGTAAATCAGGATCTCACCAAAAAAAATTTGTGATTCCTCACAGGTAGTAGGATTTGCTCTGCTGTTGGTTGGAATGTGTCTGTACAATAATGTATTCCTAGAACCAACATTTAAAAGGATTGTTGGGTACATGAACAGACGAGCAGGCATGACGGGGCGTCATGCTAGACTTGAAGAGGAAGAAGCTGGTGTGTTAGATAATCATGAAGCAGACAAGGCTACAACTAGTTGAAAATTTCTTATCCTATTATCAAGCTTATTGTCAATGAACTGGACTATAAAATAATTGTTTGTACTATAAGAAATATACTCTTAACATTGTCGTTTTGTAGTGGAGCATGAGAATGTGAAGCTATCTGTGATCTGTGTCTCTTACATTGATGCATTCATCATCAATGAAAATGAGTATATTTTTTTAATTTTTATCACATTGTATTACGGTTATCATACCTACCTCATGTAAAGCATTTGCTCCTTAAATATACATTCTTGCCAAAGCAATGAGGTCAGTAATTTTGCTTTGAGAGGACTGTTAATATCATGGTATAGTTTCTCATTGTTCGGTAGTGATTAGAAGTTAAAGTGTGTTTTGGCACATTATTTAGTCTATGAAGACTGATCTAATTTTTAAAGTTTTGGTCCAAGTGTATGAAATGCTAAAGAAAGATTGATTGAAAATTGCCTACATGGAAACAACTTTTCATAAATTTGTGATAATGAACTTTAGATATCCATGTATTGCCTTTAGTGTTTTAATAATGCCCATAATCTTACTGACTATAAGCTGCAATAAATCATTTTACAAATAATTCACAAACTGTGCTGATCACGAGTGGAAAGTATTGGGTAGGGTAGTTCCTTCACCATTATTAATTACTGACATAAGAAAGCCCAAGTTCTTGATTACCACTGTATAACCATTTAATAAACAATTTCTGTACAACAATTTTTAAAAAGTTAAGTATGACACAATGGCACATATAGCATTTGTGTAGATCTCACAAAGTATCAAAGGGCACAATTCATTATACCAATGACAAGTAAGGGCATGGAATGTATACATTTAAGTCCAACAATGAGCATGATTTTACAACAAAATCATTCCATAAAGCCACATCACATCATAATGCACCGTATAGGTACATGTGACAAAGAGAAGGGGTAAATGGCCTTATCAGAACATTTTCACTCACATAATAAAAAAACTCAGAAAGTAAAGGAATTGAGATAAACACATGAGGGGAAATATTGTATCACAAAACTGATATTGTTATGAAATATGGTACAATCAGATTGAAGCAGTCTTCCTTAGTTTTCATTTCAGTCGTCTCATTCATTTAACAGTTTCTACCTCCTTACAGAAAAATGGAAGAGAAGCGAGTACTAGATGACTCTTGTGCAAAAAAAAAAAATGACTACAGATTCATCCACACTACACTTTTTAAAAGTACAATATGTAATAAAAGTTTATATAAATCCCAATTAAAATAATTGATAGAGTTGTCTGCAAGTTACTTTCCCAACATACAGTAGGTTTAAAAATACATATGAAAAGTGTACAAAAAGATAAAAATTACAATGGTAGAAAATCATTTTAAGTACCAGTCAGGAAGTTGATTTGACTGAGCAAGTTCTATGACAAATAACACAATTCAAATTGTACAATGGAAAGTTTTGTCAAAGTCTTCTGAATAATACTGTCAACACTGTAAGCAATCAATTAAGAGGCAGCATTACAGTGCACTATGGTCCCGTGCATCAAAAGAGGGGAATACAGTCCAAGTCAGGGCACAAAACAACAAGGGAGTCCAATCAAACTTACAACAGCGGTAATAAAATGCCAACATAATGGTAAGATAGTAAATTACCACATAAAGGTTATAAACCAAAACAATATGAACGCACATAAGCTACTCATCAAGAGGTCAAAATAATACAGTAAGAAGCTTTTTTAAAAAAAAGACATAAAAACCTTAACAAGTAAAATGTTACAAACATTTATAATAATACTGACCAAAACTTGACTCATGGATGTAGTATTTAGATGTTCACTTCAGTGAACAAAAGCATAATTTAAATTTCTTCAAATTTATACATACTCTACATAACTTGACTGAAAAATCAGAAAGAATGCTGATTTTGGGAGACCTGAAAGCATCTGCTTTCCACTCCAGATACTATTTTATTTACAGCTCTGTGGTCATGTGCGATGTAAGAGCTTGAACTCGCTTAGCATTGCAGCTCTTGCACAAAACATGGTCATCCAGAGGATAGCAGCCTCGGCCTTCTGCTTCGGTGGACAAGACAAGTCCACAATCCTGGAAAATCAGATTATTATTGTGATTAATTTTGATTACAGGGTTAAAAAATAATAGTGGAAACTATTCAAAGAGCATTGTGTACCTCGCACTTATAACATTGGATGTGAAAACTTCGATCCAAAGCAACAACCCTAACAGTTTCATCTTGCCCAGCTTCTGGCATGATAGGCTTCTGGCACACACAGCAACGTGGAGCAAATTTTCTGAAAAAAACACATAACAGGTATGAAGAAATGCATGGTAAGGACCAAAGGGGGCATGAAATGAGGACGATACTCTGGGCTACACTTACTTGTGAAAGTCTTGAATGCAATGGATTTGATTGGTGGCATCAACTGTAAAAGGAATACCATCAAGGGATTCTCCACAGACAACACAACAAAAGCATTGTGGATGGTAAGGGCGCCCAGTAGCTCGCAGGATACGATCCAAAATAGGTTGGAGACAGACCGAACATTTTTCCAGGGTATTCTATAATAGAATAGAAAAACATTTGCTCATTTATATGTTCTAGAATACATTGAAGAAATAAAACATTACTCTCTAAATAAAATGTAGTTACCAAATAATCTTCTTTGCAGTAGGGTTTACCCTCCAGAGCATAAAATGGTTTCCCTTGTAACTGTACAGCACAGTCACAGCAAGTAAAGCACCTAATGTGATACACTTGATCCATTGCTGTACAACCAGAGCCCTCTCCAACAACTTTTTCACCACATTTGGTGCAGATACCTGACAAAGAGATAGACCAGAATAAAACACCTGACAGGATCACTTTAGTTGGAAATTATCATTATTGGGCTGTGGAAACTGACCGTAGATGTCTGAGTCTGTTGATCCATCCATGGATTGAACAAGTAAATCAGTGAGTGCATCTACCTCTGCCTCTTTTTCATTATGAGCAGAGGTATGCCCTCCTCGTTGGAGTGTTCCTTGTTGACTGCCAGTATACGGTGCATACAAAGAATAATTGGAACGGGAAGACAACTGTGATGGAGGTCGAGGATTGATTGGTTCGTAGATGGATTCATATGTCGATGAACTCTGCAGAGGTAAGAAGTTTTACATAAAACGGTGTGTTTGTCAAGTACCACTTTGTTGAGTAGAGGATGCCTGTTCCTGAGCTTACTTGAGATGATGATCCATAGGTTGAATAATCAGGTGGATAATTAGAAGGGAAGCTTGGTGGATATGAGGGCTGATATCCTGGTTGATAAGTTGCTCGTCTAAGTTCAGAATAGCTTGAGCTAACAGGAGAAGGTGGTGGAGGCAGGTCTTCTGGCGAAGTTTCTGGCACTTCCTCGGGAGGTGGTGCGGTGGTTGGTTCAGGTGGTGGTGGTGGCATCTCTAAATTACAACAAAACCAGCAATTGTTTACAATGACTGTAAGCCATACACAAGTAATATATCTTCAGATGGAGATGAAAGCTCTTATTTTACCTGGTGCCGCAGTTCGGCTGGCTTGCTGAAAACTTGGGTAGTTACTGTATGTGTTGCTGTAGACTGCTTGTCGTTGTGTTTCCGGCAGGTTACTGTATGTGGCTGTGTTGTTCATTCTTCCCATCATTCCTGAAATTTAATAAAACACATGAACCATTGGTTTAGAGGTAAAGTGGCTGTGGTTGTAAAAATTTCAAAAGGCAATGAAATTTTTCTAGGCTCAACTATTACCAGGGCTTTGACTGTGAGGTAGATTTGTGTAAAGGGGAACACTTGGTTTATCTGGGCTTGTTGATCCTCCACTTTGCAACGGAATACTGTAGGAAGGCTCACAAGGCCCATTGAGGGAATAACTCTTTGGAACCTAAGATTAATTAATTGCTGTTGTTAGTAAGTAGAATGTCAGTTGAAAATTTAGATTCACAATGAAAGTTCGAAAGATTACCAGGGGTGTGGCCTTTTTGGACGGTTTTGGGGGAACAGCCGGTCCTATTTTTCTGCTTGGACTGCCTTGGAAAGAAGGTGATGCATTCCCGGGTCCCGAGTCACCTGACTCACTGTGATTGATTTGCAACCCCGCCAGCTGGTGTTCCAAGTGGCTTGCCATTGTTTTCCTGAGAGAAAAAAGAAAACAAGTCTATAAAATTAAGCTTCAGACATTTTGGGAAGGGTCCCCAAGATTTTGACAGCGAGAAAGCACATTAGAGGAAAGAAAAAAGGGGCGAAGGCAGGCTTGGTGCAATACATTCACAACATTGAACTAAAGGCCATCAAATAAGTGATGTAAATTTTCAGCTAGGCCAACGTTAACTAGAGAAAACACTGAAAAGAACAAACAGGATGAATGCCAATCAACTGTTCTGACAGAAAAACTTCTCTTCTAATAACATTAAAGCAGCAGTACAGTTAAAAACAATCACTCATAGTATTTTAAGGGACAAACCACAAAAGAATTTTGCAAGAGAGGCAAACAATGGATCATGCGCCAGATGTCTTGACAGGTCTTCACTGATAAGCTGCGCAATTAGTCATCAACCCGGAACTCTGACGACGAAAGCATAGCAGACGAGTCATCCGCCCCAAGAATGTTGGCGCTCGCCGCGACATCTTGCTGACAACGTTCTAACGCTGCCCAGGCGAACGTGAGGCAAACGTGTCATTCCATACGGCAAAACACATGCCAAAGAGGGCAGAAACGAACCTTTGAATGCTGAATGAGGCCTGTATAGTTTGCTTTGAGGCGGACGGGCTGACGAAGAAACTAGGGTTGGATGCCACCTCCTTGGTTCAGTTTCTCTTTCTTCAGGAAAAGCAGAAGTTGCATGCCTTCAACCATGCGTTTTAACGGGCGGTAGATCTTCGAAGAGCAGCAGGGAAGTCCGAATTCTGCACAATTCGGCTATTTTTGCACAAATATCAACACTTTGGAGGAGAGGGTGTCGGCTGGTGCCAGCGAGTAGGGTCACCGCCCACACACAACGCAGTGCAGTGTGCAGTAGTGGTGCAGCTACATTTATAGAAGGCCGTGACTGCGTGGCGCGGCTTTTGAACCAGTGCGCGACAGCAAGTCGTTGAATAACTACTTGGATTGTCTGAACGGAAGGGCCCCAGAGTGGATACAAACCCCTCTCAAAACTTGAAAAGAAAATATTAAAAGATAAAAAACAAAAAAAGACCACAAACACACATGTCAACATTGCAAACAACATTTTATTCAGCGTTTGACAGCATAGCAAGTTGCTACTGAACACATTAGATGTAAACATAAACTTGAGAACTAAATTTACTACTATTACATAAATTTTACAACAACTAAACAGATAATCACAGCAGAAATTTGACAACAACTTATACATATAGAAACAGCATTAGGCACACGTCTCAAAATTAAAAAATTCTTCTAAACAGTAACAAAACCAACAGTAAATATATACAAACAATTTAAGTAACAATTAAAGTAATAGCTTGTAGCTTGAGTACAATTTAATAATGTGGAAAGGAGCATTCAGGACGGAGTGTCACATTGCCACAACTAAGCTTCAACTTGGCGCAATACAAATTTTTGCGATCTTTCCTCCCAGTTTTAAATTCTTGAAATAAGCTTGGTCCCACCAATAAGAAAGGGTCAAATCGGAGCACTACACCAAGGAAGCACAACAATGTCTAAAATTTCGAGGTAAAAGTTCATTAATGAAGCTTGATAGATATTTCTACAAAAATTGTTTGCCCAGGTAAGAATTTTCCTGCATTGATTGATTAAATGATTGATGTCTTCAAAAAGAAAAATGCAGGTGGTATCTTGTAGTTGATAGCTGACTGTTACTTATTACACCTCTTAAGATGGAATTCATTATTGGCTAGTGAGGTACTTATGCAGTGAGCGGATGAAATGTCTAAACCGTTTGTAACATTTTATGGATAAATTTGAGAAAATCGTTTTGTGAGTAAAGCTTGTAAAGTATGTGGAAGAGTTTCCCACAAGCTTTGATTTTTTTTGTGATACTTCAAAGTAGCATTTAAGCTCAATCTGAAAACAGAAAAATAGAAGAAAACCCTTCATAGAATCAACTTAAATCAGTCACATAGGATGGGAACTAACTTACCTCAGGAGAGTTAGTGGTTTGAAATGGATAGTGAGCATCACATTAGTATGGTCCTAAAATGGGTGGAAAAGAAGACAAGGTTAAAATCAGGACAAGATATTATATATCAGTAATAATCAGCCTATTTTAACAGTAGCAGGCAAACAAAGCATACATAAACTAGAAATGATAGACAGCCTTTGTTTTAATTTTTTGGCTTAACTTTATCACACAATAAAAATTTACTTTGAGTTTCATTGATGTTTCATAGAATGGTTGGGTGAGTCCGCCAACAATTAACAATTGTTGCTCCTCAAGTTCATCAGATCTTGTTGTCAAAATACCCACGACACTTGCAGTGTGGGCACATCTGGGTTCCCCAAAGTCATAGGGAAGTTTAAATTCCTTCCATTTTGCGGGGAGAAGCTTCATGACAGCCGTTTTTGATGTTTGCACCTCCAGCATCCAACAGTCATCTAGATGCATACCAAACTCATTTAAAAAAAAATTAAAATATGGAGTTACAAAATAATAATGAAAAAAGACCAGATGGTGGTCAATTACATTACAAAATACTTCTCCACTTTATGGGTTTGGAAGGTTTTTACCTTAGGGAAATTAGGCAAATGTTAATTGACGCAGAATGCTTTCATGCACACAACCATTTACAAGTGATTATTGATTAATTAGTGTGAATTGCATTCATTCATTTGCGCCAGGAAACCTAAGAACTATGAACAGAGAAGGGGAAACGATCCATTCTAGTTTACTTATGCTTTGGCGGTCCTTACTGCTGCTAACTTTATATTTGACTTTGCACTTCAAAGATGAAAGAACTACTCACTGGCTTTAAATCCTGATCCTGAGTGTGGTCTTCATCATCTGCATGAATTACAATCTGAAATTTAACAAACAAATCAATCTTAAAACTGAACTAAGGCCAATCCTCTTAACTAATTGGACATGATTTTCTCTTCCTTCTAAAACTCAGTGTTAACGGTGTGATTCTACAAATATCATGTATTATTTTCAAATTAAATAATTGGTTTGAGGCAACACTTACTAAAGGTGGATTATTGAACCGATTAAATCCACCAAAACATATTAAATCTCCAGTATCCTCTAAATGTACTGTCTTATGCCAGAAGCGCCGCAGACAGAACCTTTGTGGGTGGGGTGGTAAGCTATATTTGACTTTCCACTTGTTACTTGTAGGAGTTCTTTCATCAGCATTTGTTTTGTTTGAAGAAATATCCACATACCAACAATCATCTAGATAAAATGTGAAAGCAAAATATTATTTCAGTTTCAACACGTAATATCACACCAAGCTAGATGATTTATCAACAAACAAAGTCAAAAGTTTGTAATAGACAGCATGCACAGTTTAAGATGTGAGAAACACAAATTGCCACACAGCAGACAAGCAACACTCAGAAGACCACAAGCAGCTAATGTGTCATCAAATGTGTTGCTACATTGGGAAAGGTTTCTTTACTTACTTAAAATGTTATTATAAGTACTAAAACCACCATAAAGAACAGCACGTTCTTGTGATACAAAAGTAAAGCTGTGCCAAGAGCGACCTGGAGGTACACATTCCGCACTTTCATTTATACTGCAACATTAAAGAAATCAAAATGAATAGCCAGCATCCAAGAAAATAAAAGAGAAGTTTTTCAAGTCCTTTTTTTTAAATTTAGAATTCTTAAACGTACTTTCCACTCCAAGTCATAGTATCCATGTCCAAGACGTACAAATCATTCTTTCTAACAGTCTTCAGGCGGCCTCCGTTAATAAATACTTGCGGACCACACTTGTCCCCTGCATGAGCTGCCCTCGGGGATGGTGGTTGACCATTTACATAAGGCCACTCCCAATTGTTGGTTTGTGGGTTGTAGCCAAAAAATTGATTATTCCATGCACTGCCTGTTTCATCATCAATTACAAATTGGAAAAAAACGTGCCTGTCTGGAACTGGTCCAAATCCACCAAAGAAGTAAGTCCTATCAAAAATGAAAATTCAAAGTTAGATGATGGTAGTGGTCCACTTATTGACATTTTGCATGGCAATAATGACAGAACAAGGACTTACTTCCCTCCATGCTCCCACCCCACTAGCTTTTCACAAGGGATTGGTGGAATACCTTTAGGCTTCAAAAGAGTCCAAGTCATTGTCAGTAAATTTAGAGCATACAAATCATTTGTATTCCCACCAAATTCCTCAACTCCTGTAGTATGAACATAAAAAGTATTAGTTTTAACTTTAAAAAAATCTTAACAATTTAAATAATGATTCTAGCAAATGTTAAATTTTTCACATACCTCCAAACAAGTAAAGTGTATCTCCAAGCACCACTCCACATCCACCAGAGCTCCGAGGTGGAATGTCGCCTTTCAACAGCTTGCGTTCCCTAAAGGCAGACAGCCAAAAAGATTATATGAACGACTGACCCTGAACACAAATTAAGAGATATGTAACACGAAAAAGTATATGAGTCTTGCACATACCATAGCTCAGAAAAAGTTTCATAAATAAAAAGTTCATCAGTTGCATGGTGGTGAGTTGCTGTTTCGGATGGGTCAGAGTATTCCTGAAAATAAAAGCAGACCCTTTTTGAGAAGTGCATGGTGGAGTGTCCCATGTTGACAACATGATGGAGTGAGTTGAAAAGTCAATTATATTAGGAACGACAGTTGACAAGACTCAAAAGTTAATTGTATCGAGATACATGTTACGAGAATGTCTGATTAATGAAAACGTGATACAAAGTTTTGTTTACCATGTAACCACCCCAAACAAGCAGCTTTCCTTTGTAAGAGACAGCTACATGTCCCACTCTTTGATTGATTTTCTGATGAAGAGGCAGTAGATTCGAATTCATGGCGATGCTGTCCGATCGCAAGTTCCACACGGTGTAAACACTTATCCAATTCCACAAAATGAAGGTTCTCAACAACTACAGTAAGTCAGTAGCAGAAGGAATCTGTGTGGAAAGGCGAGCCCAGCGCCGCCTGGCCAGGCATGGTGGCCGCCTTCGGAACTACGCGTGAGTTGTGTCTTGTGAGCGGCTAGTTTGAACTTTGTTGTGGTAGTGTTGACCGTGGGCCGTGCTTCGTCTGACAGTATTATGCTTGTCGTGGGTAAATTTTCACTCGTCAAAGACAATTTCTGTGTTCTTTTGCATGAATCGGAAGTTGGTCTCCCTTAATATAGTGAGCCAAGCCCGCAAGATATAAAAGCATCAAACGATGGACACCACAAGTTCAAACCAACCGCTCAATTTTGCTCAACTTTTGATGGTCGACGGTGCTGCTCTCTGGCGGGCCTTCGAATCCCTTGCAATGAACAATGTTCTACTACGCGCGTCGATCCCCCCAAAAGGAGGAGAGCGTGCGGTTGCTCTTTGCACAGTTGGGTTCCCAATGCCTCTTGTATCAGCGCCAAATAGTTTTGAAAGAAGTTCAAAGCTTTCGAGCACTGCGAGCAGCGTTCACGTGTCAACAAACGAACGCTCGCGTGTGGTTTCTTTCATCGCCGCTAGGTGGCGCTCGTGCTTGGTGCTTCCACGGCCGCCCGCTTGGCGGGAAAGAGGGAGAGAGGGGGAGGTGCGGTGTAGTGGCGACGGGTGGAGCGGGAGCGGCTGCAGGGAATAGCTAGAGAGAAACTCATCGGGACCTCCGTCAGTGCGACGAAGACGGAGAAGGAACGCGTGTTACTCGATTCCGATTCCCTCCCCGATGACGTCCGCTGCTCCGCTGCGCAGGCGCACTGTCAGCCGAGGTTCAAAATAGCAGAAAGCCATGAAGAGTCTAAAAACGGCGGGAGTTGTGTTTCGGTCTTTGGCAAAGTAACTTCGAAAATTATTTGAACTTATAAAACGAGGAGGGGCGCAGGCGCGAGTGTTCGGAACAAGATAATAGTTTAGTTTTTGTGATATTTTTTGGATTGAGAAGTGAAAACCGTGTGGCGAAAGCATTTAATTTTTTGAGATGGCACAGCTTATTAGTGTGAAGCTTTCGCGATACGACAACTCGCCGTGGGGATTTCGCCTGCAAGGAGGAAAGGATTTTGGCACCCCTCTAATCATCCAGAAGGTAAGAATCGTGTCAATGTTATGGATTGGTGTTGTTCAGTGAAGTGGAAGCCGATCAGGAAGCATCCCGTTCGTTTGACCAGGACAAGTGAAATTACGTGCGTTCACGTCACTTTTTTTCGTCCGCTATACCGATGCGCTGTGTACAGAAAATAGTGGAAATCGAAACAGTGTGTTTTCCAATGGAAGAAGTAGTGTGGTGTACCACATATTACTGAACGGTCAAACTGTCAATCTTGTTGGGGACCTCTTAGGGAGTAATTTAAAGTAAAGCATTTAGAAAATGGGTGTAATGAACGCACTGAAAAAAAAACTTGTGAATGCTTATTGTTGCGTACATGATTTTTTGCGGTAAATGCGATAAAAATAATTTATTTTGGTTTTCCAAGAATGTGTTGCACCAAAAGTGAAACAAACACCTCGTTGTTTTCTATGTCGCGCTAAGTGAACAATTAACAGCGGCCCGACCGGCTAGTTCAGTCGAAGAATGTATTGCCTACCTCAAGGTGGCAAACTGTCAAAATTAAATGGACACGTCCTCGCATCCTCCGTTCGTCCGCTTCAGTCAAAAACGGGGAGCGCTTTTCAAAACGGTGTTTGCTAGTTATTTATTTCAAAACTTTTTGAGAAGCATCGCACGTTGCCGCAGGCCAGGGTGAGGCACAAGCGAGCCACCACGCCTCCCCCGAAACTTTGGAAACGACTGCTTTGAGATGACCCCGTTGCTTTTCCTCGCGATATGTCGCGGAATGAGCTCAGGTGGGGCGACCACATGTGGGCGCGCGGGGCGCGCGGCAGGGCGGCGGTCGGCGGCACCCGGCACACCACCGGCGGCCACCTGCCCTGCTGATAAGATACACGGGGGCGGCCAGGAAGGCCTCCCGGAGGGGCTGGCGGCGGGTGGCCGCGCGCGCGGCGTGGTCGTGGAGGCCGTGGCGGAGGCCGCGGCGGAGGCCCGCTCGTGTTGACATTGTGAACTTTATGCCGTGCTAAATATACCGCCGGGCCACCGGGACGGACCAGCGCCAGCCGCCGCCAGCTGGGGCCGTGGGTGGGTCAGCCGGACACCCACGCACAGGCCGGGTGGGCCAGGGCACGGCCACCGCCCACCGCCGCCACGCCTGCGGCTGCACCGAACTGCGCCTACAACAGGTTGCAGCTTTGCAGCCTCCACGCAGAGAGGGCTGCGCCCCGCCCCGCCCCGCCCCGCCCCGCCCCGCCCCGCCCCGCCCCGCCCCGCCCCGCCCCCACGGCTGGCTGCGCCGCGGGGCGCCGCGCCTGGCTGCGCGCTGCGCTTCGCGGCCGGTCTAGTCTCATCGGTCTGCTAGCCCCGCTAGCCCCGCTAGCCCCAGCCGATCGCAGTCGTCACAGACTTACAGCTGTGCTGACGTGGCGGCCTGGCCAAAGGCGCCAAAGGCGTGGCGGCAGCGTGAGCGTGGCGGCGAGGGCGAAGACGGGCTGGCATGGACGTGGCCATGTGCCTCGCTCGGCTCGCTCGCCTCGCCCCCTGAAGCTGAAGGCCTCAAGGGTCCGGCGCCCACCCGCACGCACCGCAAGCCGCCGGGGCACCGGCTCGGTTTTTATAGGTGAGGCACGGCGTGACCGGCATGGGGTTTAAAACGAAGAGACAGAGCATTTGAACCCGCGAGACCTCTGCAGAGACATCCTCCCTCCCTCCGGCCTCCACCACGCCCCACGTTCCCCCGCCTGCCCTACCCTCCGCCACTTGCACCGTATAGACATTCGAAGCCCCCCAAGTGCCCTGCACTGCTAGGCGCGGCACGGCGCGGCCCTGGCTGCCCTGCTTGGCGGCGCGGCCGACGTGCAACTCTGGCCGACGGCTTCCGCTTTGCATGTCCACGGGTGTTTTTCTGTCGAAGTTGCGCGAAGGGCGAACCAACGCAGGCCATGTTTGGCCCGACACAAGCCAGGCCTGCCCGCGTCCCGCACAAGAACATCTCTCATGCGGCCCGCGGTGCCCGCTGCCGGTCGGGCCCGGCAGACAGCCCGCCAGCTCGCCGGCCGGGCCTACACCGGCTCAGCCGGAACGGCCGCGACTTCCAGACGCGCAGATTTGATATCCGCCGTCGAGAGCGTGAGTCGTTTGTCTGGAGCCGGCGAGGCGTGGCGCGATTCGCGGACCGAGAACGAGGCGCGTGTTGCCCGTGCCGTGCCTCGGCTTATCGAAGTGCTCGTTGGGGCCGCACGTCGTATCGGAGCGGCGACAGATGGACGGAGACGGGCTGCATGAAAAAATAAAATCGGTTGGCATCTTGCTGCAAGGGAAGAGGGAAGGAAGCGGCCGCCGTGGAGCCCCTGACGAGGTCAGGGTAGGCCGGCCCGCCGAACAGCCGCGTCCTGCTGGAGGACCGCTTGCCTACCTCGCAGGCGCCCTCCGCTCTGCCAGCCCGCCGTCGCCCCCTCCCACAGTGGGCCAGAAAAGCGGCGCCGGCGGCCTAGACGCGTTTTGAGCTTCAGCGTCGCTAAACGGGACTCAAACCGAACGTGAGACCCCACCAATGGATTGCTCTCCGAACGAGGAATCCATTGATGCGGTCACACGTTCGGTTCGAGTCCCGTTTAGCGACTCTGGAGCTCAAAACGCGTGTAGAGCTTCGGACGCCTGCGCCGGTCTTCTGGCCCACAGTGGGCCAGTCGCCCTCATCACCCTGCCCATCGTCGGACGATTCGTCTCAATCTCTGAGCCGCGTCTCTTCCCCACGAGCGTGCCTGTCACGCGCGTGACGCCGCGTTGTCGCTTCCTGTTTTCGCGCGGCACGCCGGAGTGACGCGGCCGTGACGCGGCACGCACGCCGATAACGCGCGGCCGGGCCGGGCCGAACAGACGGGCCCAACAGACGGCCTGGTCGTGGACTATCGCGATGCTGAGATACCCGCCGGTCGCGGAGGGCCGCGGAGGGGACGAGGGAGAACCGCGCGGATCACCTGGTGCACTGCCAATCCGGCGGGGAGGCACCGCCAACAGACAGAGTGCGAGCGCTGTGTCGGCGTGCGTACCGCTTGCCGCTTGTCACCACGGCGATGATGACGGCCGATTCCCAGTGCCGGCCCATTGACGGGATGCAGGGAGGGCACTAGCTCACTGGGATGCGCCTGCGAGGCGGGGCGGGGCGGGGCGGGGCGGGGCGGGGCGGGGCGGGGTGGTCGGCGGCGAGGCGGTGGGCTGGTCAGGGCTAAATATACACTCGGGGCCTGTCACCACAGCAGCGTCTCGACGCGGTCGCGTTTTTCATAACCTCATCCCTGCTTCGCGCTTCGCGCTGCCACGCGCTTTTGCATCCAAAGGGACCAAGGCCCCGGCACACTTCCGGGGAGGGCGTGGGAGCGAGGGGGCCGCAAGTCGGCGGCAAGGCACACGGCAAAACCAACGTCCGGGTTTCCCAGGCGCACCCTGGAAAAATGCCCTGTTTTTCCAGGGTGCGCCTGGGAAACCCGGACGTTGGTTTTGCCGTGCAGGGACCTGTGGGGGCATGTGGAGGCCGAGACCAGCGGGGACCCGCGGAAATGGAAACCGGCTGCGTTGTCTGTAGACGCTCTGTCTCTCTCGCACCTATACGGGATGCCCCATGAGTGCGAGGGAGGCAGAGCGACGAAAACGACTCTCGGAATGAGTCTCCTGATTGGCGCGACGGCGGCGGCGCGGGGACAGCCAGCCCTCCTTGTTATGAGTTGGCCTTTGCGTAAACAACGGGCAATCACCGGCCGCCCCGTGCGGCCCTGCCGGGCCCTGCACCCCATCCCCAGTGCTCTCTCGCCAGACAAACGAGCCCATAGCCGCGGCGCGGGGTGGGGCGGGGTGGGGCGAGGCGGGGCGGGGCGGGGCGGGGCGGGGCGGGGCGGGGCGGGGCGGGGCGGGGCGGGGCGGGGCGGGCAGCTGCAGCCTTGGGCTTGGCCGCTCGGCCGCGAGAGCCGCGGCGTGGGAACGGGGCGTGGCTGATAGGTTTCAAAACGGTCGGGCGGTGGCGCGGTGGGCGACCCATGCTGATGACGGCTTTGTTTCAGGTTAACGGCGGCTCCCCCGCGGAGAAGGCCGGTCTGCAGGCGGGCGATGCAGTGCTGAGGATCAACAACGTGGACGCGACCGCCCTGCGGCACAAGGACGCCCAGGACGTGATCGTGCGGGCGGGCAACAGCTACGAGCTCGCCGTCCAGAGGCAAGTCGAGACGGAGCACCCCGCCGCCGCATCGCCGCGTCGCCGCACCACACAGCGGGCCAGACGACCGGCGCCAGCGGCCTAAAGTCAAGACGCGTTTTGAGCTCCAGAGTCGATAATCAGGACTCGAACTGAGCGTGTGACCCCACCAATGGATTCCTCGTTCGGAGAGCAATCCATCGGTGGGGTCACACGTTCGGTTCGAGTCCCAATCGGTGACTCTGGATCTCAAAACGCGTCTAGAGTTTCGGCCGCCTCCACCGGTCTTCTGGCCCACTGTGCTCCGTCGCGCCTGTCTGCCTGCGCGCCGTCTGCCCCGCGGTCCATCATCCGGTGGCGTGGCGGAGCGGCGGAGCGAGATGGTCGAGGAGGGCGTGATGCTGGTGTGCCGGTGCGAGCACGTCGGCGCGGACGACGGGACGGACGACGGGGCGGAGGGGGTGGCCCAAAGCCCGACCCGGGCTAAAAATACGGGGCATCGCTCGCGCCGCGTTCGCGCTGCGGCATGCGGCGTGCGGCACGCGGCACGGCGCGGCGCGGCACGGCACGGCCCATGCGGTACCCTGCAACGCACTTCGCCGGCAATGCCCAACGCGGCGGGGTGTCTGTCAGGGCGACGCGCGCCCAGGGCGGCAGCGGCAGGGCAGGTCAAGGGCGGCGCGGCGTGGGCGGCGCAGGGCCAGGGTGTGGCTCCCGAGGGGGAAAAGGAAATCCGAGATGTTTTCAAAACAACAATGTTTGGAATGAATGCCACGCCGCGAGGGTGTGCGATGCGAGGGCGCGGAATTCAACTCTCGTTTCGGATTGCTGTTGACTCTGGCCGCCCTGTGGCACGCATGCACACGCATGCCGGCGTGCCGCTCGGCGTGCCGCTCGGCGTGCCATTCGTCCTGCTGGGTGAATGACAGAGACGGAACGACGCCGCGATTTATGTCCAATAACTCTGTAACGAGCAGCGGGGCGGCGGGGCGGCGGGGCGGCGGGCGTCGCCAAGCCTCCACCACCACCGCGGCGCCCACGCGGCGGGCCGAGGGCAGGCCGAGGGCCCCGGGCTGCGAAGAACGCGAACGCAGCGCACAAATACAGCGGGCCTCTTTAAATACTGCGTGCGGAATCCATGTAGCCGCCCCCGCCACGCCCCGCCACGCCCCGCCACGCCCCGCCCCGCCACGCCCCGCCACGCCCCGCCACGCCCCGCCCCGCCACGCCCTGCCACGCCCCGCCACGCCCCGCCCCGCCACGCCCCGCCACGCCACGCCACGCCACGCCCGCCACGCCCCGCCACGCCCCCAGCGTTCCGCCCCCGTGCTGTAGCAGGCGGCCCGCAACGCCCCCGCCAGATAGCCAAAGAGACCTTCCCTTGCAAAACGTTTTGCTCGTTCCCGTCGGCGCGCATCGTCGTCCATGACATGATGGGTTGCTCTTCGAACAACCGCCCAGGCCGCACTGGCTGAACGGGCTGCTCAGTCTAGGACAAAAGTAGCCGCGCTGGGTTTCCGCGTCGGAGGTCGTCCTGTAGGCTGATTCCGAACTCTGTCTCTCTCGCACTCGTGGGGTGGCCCGTCGTTGTAGGGGTGCGAGAGAGAGACAGCGACGCCGGCCGTCAGACCGTCGCACAGTGGGCCAGAAACCGGCGGAGGCGGCCAAAATTCTAGACGCGTTTTGAGCTCCAGAGTCGCTGAATGGGACTCGACCCGAACGTGTGACCCCACCAATGGATTCCTCGTTCGGAGAGCAATCCATTGGTGGGGTCACACGTTCGGTTCGAGTCCCATTTAGCGACTCTGGAGCTCAAAACGCGTCTATAGTTTTGGCCGCCTCCGCCGGTTTCTGGCCCACTGTGCGTCGCCGCGGGCGGTGCCGGTCGAGGTCGGCCGGACCCGGTGGCATTCGTCGTCTAAACGCTTTGACAAGGAATACGTGTGGCGCCATTCAGGACACGGTCGAAGCAGCGAAGGACCGCAGGTACGAAGGGCGGGCCAAGCGCCCAGCCGCACCGCGACAGCATGCAACAGCAGCCGAGTGATTCCGAACAGCGCCCTGTCTTTCTCTCTCGCTTCTCTACGGGACGCCCAACGAGTGCGAGAGGGACAGAGCGGGCATGGCCGCGACGACGCGAAGGGCACCAAGGGCACGCGGCGCCACCGGTAATGAGCAACTAACGAAGTGCCAATGAGTCGCAGCGTGGCACAGCGTTGCTTCGTCGCTCTGCTTTCTCTCTCTCTCTCTCTCTCTCTCTCTCTCTCTCTCTCTCTCTCTCTCCCTCTCTCTCTCCCTCTCTCTCTCCCTCTCTCTCCCCCTCAGCGTAGCGAGGGCGACGCTCCCAAACTAAGTGTGTTTGAGGCGTTCCTATTGCGGGTCTTGAGGGAGTTAGGTCCAAAGCGTATTTCCCAGGAAGTTGAGGGATGGCTTAGACCGATCATAGCTAGATTGGGCGCAGTGGCCACTCAAATGAAGCAAATATTTTATTTGTAGAAATTTTGACAGCTTTGGGAGGCTTGTGTTTATATATACCAAGTGTGATCGAACCGTTGATGGGGGCACGACCCAAGGGCTGAGAAACCGCTGGTCTAGGAATGCGACAGAGACAGGGCAACGAAAACCCTGTTCAGATAATCAGCCTGTAGTGAGAAAGATAACTGATGAAATAATTTTTTGATGAAGCTTGCTGACGGTGTCCTCGTCGTGTTCCAGAGGCGGTGTCGGCATGAGCACGTGGAAGCCCCACGTGGCCCCCGTGGGTCCCAGCCCCGTCAAGCCCGGCAGCCAGGGCAACGTCACCAAGACCTCCCTGACGTACAAGGGGCCCGCCGCACAGCCCATCGGCACCGGCCACAACACGTCCGCCAAGCCTTTCGGCACCATCCCACACGTGAGTACACAGTGGGCCAGAAGACCGGTGGAGGCGGCCAAAACTCCAGACGCGTTTTGAGCTCCAGAGTCGCTAAACAGGCCTCAAACCGAACGTGTGACCTCTCCGAAATGCTCTCCGAATGAGGAATCCATTGGTGGGGCCACACGTTCGGTTCCAGTCCTAAGTGACTTTGGAGCTCAAAACGCGTCTAGAGTTAGTTTAGGCCGCCTCCACCGGCCTTCTGGTCCACTGTGCGCAAGTACGGAACAACCTCGAGCGACTCGTGCGTCCAATTTCCCCCCAAGCTCCACCGGGGAAACTGCATGTCATTTTATTTTCTGGCTTTCAGATGAACGGTGGTCCCGATCAGCAGATCGTCAATAAACAGTTCAACAGCCCCATCGGCATCTACAGCGAACAGGCCATCGCCGAGACCCTGTCTGCCCAGGCGGAGGTCTTGTCCGGAGGCGCCATTGGGTACGCTATACGACTTGACGGTGCGACTTGACGGCGCCAGGCCGCACAGTGGGCCTGAACACCGGTAGAGGCTTCCAAAACTAGACGCGTTTTGAGCTCCAGAGTCACAAGACAGGACTCGAACCGAACGTGCGACCCCACTAATGGATTCCTCGTTCGGAGAGCAACCCATTGGTAGGGTCACACGTTTGGTTCGAGTGCCATTTGGCGAACTTGGATCTCAAACTCCATCCGGGATTTTGACCCCCGCCACCGGTCTTCTGGCCCACTGTGGACCGGTGCGGCGCCAGTACGCCAGACGGGACGAGCGGCGTGCTTTCATCTGCATGACGCCGAGCAGGGCGAGCAGGAGGCGTGGCCGCCGGCCAAGCGGGTAACACACTGTGTGCGCCGCACCGCGCGGCATGGCGCGGTACGGCGCGGCACGCCGAGTGTCGCGCTAGTGACTCAGCCGCAAACATGCCGGGCTTAGCCGGGCTGCACCGCACTGCACTGGCATGGCATGGCATGGCATGGCATGGCGGGGCGGACGCTTCGGCTTCGCCCCGCCGATGCGATGACGCCGCGAGTTGTCGTCCTGATGAGTGGCAGGCAGCCAATATGCCGCCCGCCCCCCGCCGCCCATGCATCAGCGCGTCGAACAGCAGCGCTTTCGTCGCTCTGTCTCCCTCGCTCTCTCGGGGCGCTCCGTCGCGGTGCGAGAGAGACAGGGCGACGTTCGGAACCGGACGGCGGCCAACCCGATCAGCTGGGAGTGGCGGCTTCCGAAGTGCGAGGGCCCTGAATGCGACGACAGTGAACGTAAACGGCGGTTCATGGAAACTGAAAATCGCAGCAGATGCTGTAAAATAGATTCGGCTCTTTCCCCGAGACTTTCCTGAAAAAGTTGTTGACGGTTCGTGTCTCTCGTTGCAGAGTCAACTTCAAAAAGAACGAGAAGGAGTACAATGCCGCCAACAGCGAGGTGCTGAAGATGGTGCAGGAGGCCGACAAGGAGCCCCGCCTCCCGGAGCCTGGTAAGGATCGAACCTCTGTTCTTGCACACGTCACAGTCCTCCCTCCAGGGTGCCAGGCGTACGATGGCGTTGGTGGTGGTGGTTGGCGTCGCATCATCTCGGCCCCGACTCGTAGTACTTGTCTTTTAGAAGCGCTCGCGCACAGCAGTGCATTCCAGTTGGTGGGAGGCGGTGACCCTTGGAATGCACTCCTGGCGGGCCGCGTCGGCTGGCCCTCGGTCAAGCACACGGCTTTGGTGGCGTAGATTCACAGGGTAGCGGCGTTGTCGGAAGCCCCGGCGTCGGCGGCCCGGCCCCCGTTGCCGGCGGCGTGCCCACGCCCTTCGGCGTCCACGGCCTCCGCCACGTTCAGGCTCCCGAGAGCAAGGCGCCCAGCGCGCCCCAGGACCCCTTCAAGGTGCTGCCGCCCGGACAGAACATCTGCGCCGACTGTGAGCGTCTCATCGTGTAAGTAAGGGATGATTGGCCGTGCGCCTCCGGCCGCGCGGGCCGGGGAGGCGACCTACCCGTCGCGGGGCTGGAGCTAGACCTCAAAGTTTCGTTTCGAAAAAATACCTTATTTGGAAGTCAATTGATTTAAATGTGACTCCAGCCCTGCCACGCGGTGGGTCATCCTCGTCCTGCGACGCCCCCTGCCCGCCGCGCCCCGCCCACCCCGCCCGCCGCGTGTATGATATGGGTGCTTTGTTGCTGCGGTGGGCCTGGGTGGGCCCGGGTGGCAGGCCAGGGCGGCCAGGCTTGCCAACCGTACAGGTCGCTCAGCAGGCTAACCAACCTCCCCGTAGGCAGCTCGGCGTCAACTCATCGTCGCTGTACAGAACCGCTTCACATCATTATTGACTCATTATTCACCTGCTGTGCTCAGTTCTCATTTGCAAATGCAGTTTTGCCTCCCTGTCCCATGATCTCCCTGACCCGTCCGGGAGGAAACCGGGGAGAGGCGAAGCTTTAAATTTCGTTGGGTGTCTTTCCGATCGACCTTAAAAAATCCTAGTTTTCTATGCTCGTCATGAGAACCGAGCTTCGCCTTTCGCCCGGCCCTCCTCGGCTCCCCGCCGTCGAGCTGCCGGCCTGCCGGCCTTTCTCTCATGCTTCCGGTTCGGTTCCAGCCCGGGTGTTCAGTGTTTCGAACAGGTCCCTCTCGTAAGTACGACCCCGCGATGTAGCGCGGCACCGTGCACGGCTTGCCATCTAAATTGAACGCGGGAATCTAGACGTCCCGTCCGGACCGAGCGTGACCGCGTCCACGGAGACACGCGCGCTCTGCTCCGAGGCGTGGTCAAGGGCCTAGCGAGGGTGGAGGCGGCCTCTTCCGAGGGTGTTTCATTGAGTGCGCTCAGCATCTTGGAACTGAGAGGCTGGGGCGTCGCTGCGCCCCCTCGCTGCACCCTGGCTACGCCCCTGGCCACCGTCAGAGCAGCGCGACGCACCCGCACCCCTCCCGGCCGGGAGGGGCGGTCATCGGGCCATCGGGCCATCGGGCCATCGGGGCGGGCCACTGGGCCAGCAGCGCCAGCAGGCCCACATCCGCAGTGCGTGCCTCGCGTGCGGTGCGTGCGTGCATGACAGAGAGGCTAGGCGGCGGCTCGCTCCTCCCTCCCCCACCTCGGCGCCTCCACCTCCACCGCATCGACACTCGTCACTAGGCCCCGGTCTGTCCTGGTGTGTCCGCAGAGCGGCCCGCCTCCACGACGTACTTCGCCACGCACAGCCACGCGGTCGGCGGGCGCGCCTTCTCCCCCGCCCCCGCCGCCCCCGCCGCCCGCCCCCACACGCCCTCACACTCGCCCGCCCCCGGCGTCGCCCCCTCCGCCCCCTCCCCGGCCCCGTCGGCGTCCAGCTTCGCGCCGCCCGGTGGTCCCGGCCAAGTCAGCAACCTGCCCGTCGCCTCGGACACGCCCAAGTGCGCCGAGTGCGAGCGCTTCATCGTGTGAGTCTGGCCGTGCCACGCCCCCAGTGGGGCCCCCACGCCCCCACGCCCCGCGCACCTGGAGCATGACTGTCCAGGGCAGCATGGCGCCAGCATGCCCGTCCCTCTGTCCGTCTGTCCGGCTTGTCACAGTGCCTACCCACCCTCAACAGACAGACAGACTGACAGACACGACGCTCTCGTCCCTTCCCCATGTATGGAAGTCACTCGGTTTCTCCCCTGTGCATCCCGATGTGCCGACGTGGCGGACTTTGTGCGAGCAAGGTGCGGCGACCGTTCGGCGCCGACGTCAGCACACGCCCTTCCCGGGCGCGCGGCGCGTGGCGCGTGGCGCGTCGGGTCTGCGCGGTCACGCACTGCATCGAGGGCACCAGCGCCCCGACACTGCCAACACGAGACGGACACTTCCACCAGCACCGAGTCTAGCCTCTCAGCTACTTCTGTGTGGGGACTGTCCCTCTCTTTCTCTATCTTTGTCTGTCTCCGTGGCGTTCACAGGCAAAACAGTCGCGGTCCTCGCCCCGCGACACGACCGCACGTTTCACTCTTTCAAATCTGCCCTCCTCTCCGTTTGCAGTTCCTATCGCCTACATTTCTCGTAGAGCATGCCCTGTGATGTAGTCATAGTCAGCAACGATCTGTTCCGTGCCTCCCCGCGTGTGCAGACACCACACACTTGTCTTGAGAATGTGCATGCGCGGCTTTCAAGATTCTCGCAAAAGAAAGTGCCCTGGTTGGCCGGCAAACCGCTTCGCGACCACGCACCGTGGGCCAGAAGACCGGTGGAGGTGGTCAAAATCCCGGATGGGTTTTGAGCACCAGAGTCACCATTCAGGACTCGAAATGAGCGTGTGACCCAATCAACGGATTTCTCGTTCGGAGAGCAATCCATTGGCGGGGCCACACGTTCGGTCCCGAGTCCCATTTAGCGACTCTGAAGCTCAAAACCCGTCGGGGATTTTGACCGCCCACCGGTCCTCTGGCCCACTGTGCAGTGCCAGTTTGATTGGACTCCGGCGCTGCGGCGGCGCCACGGCGCGTCACGGCGCGTCACGGCAGGGTAACGTGCGTTTAATGGGCGCGTCGGCGCGGCCGGTCGGGCAGTCCTCGCGGTTAGGCGTCGGGCTTTGCGCAACATCCCGTGGAGGGACGAGTAAATTAAGCCCTGGCCCGCGGCCCAGCGGCCCAGCCTCTCGCCGCCCTGCCTGCCTGCCTGTCTGCCTGCCAGCCCTGCCTGGCCGCCCTGGCCGCCGCCCTGCGTGACGGCGTGCCGCGTGGCGTGCCGTCATTCAGCCCCTCAGACAGCACGTCATTAAAGCAGGACAATACCCGTACCCGCAGGGGCGCGCCGGCTGCGTTCGGGGTTGGGCGATTTCCTTCATTCTTTTTGGGGCGTCGCTGCCCGAGTCGCTGCCCCCGGTGCGCGGCCTGGTCATCCAAGACGGCAAGCCGAGCCCCTGGCGCAGTGGTGGTGGTAGTGGTGCGGCTCAAAGGGTAACTTTGGAATGCTCTCGACCCACATTGTCTCGTCTTCAAAAAAGCCGCCCCTCCCCCCCCCTCCCTCCCGGCGTCCTCTTCGTCTCGCTTTTTATTGTTGTCCTCCTTGCCCCGCTGCACGCACGGGCATACATCTTCATCGGGCTGGCTTTGGTTTTGCTTCGTGCTTCTCACCGTGTCGCTTCTGGCTTATTTTCACGCCCTTTTTCATTGCAAGTGACACTTTTAATTTTTCGAATTTGAAAACGACGCTCAGTCCTTCCTTGGCCGGTATCAGGACCAGCGACTCTCGGACTAACGGTGGCGTGTTCCTTGCAGGGGCGTCTTTGTCCGCATCAAGGACAAGAACCTCCACGTTGAGTGCTTCAAGTGCGCCACCTGCGGCACCCCGCTCAAGAACGTGGGCTACTACAACCTCAACAACAAGCTGTACTGCGACATCCACGCCAAGCTGGTGGCGCGTCAGAACCCGCCCGCGCCCAACCTGGAGCCCGTCACCGTGCCCCCGTAAGCCGCGGCCGGCCACTAGTATTCGCAAACAAAAACAAAAGCTTAGTGGAAAAAGAAAATTATTTTTTGTTGTTTGCTTGCAGAGGCGCGCGCCCCCCAGCGGGAACCATCTCGAACGCCCTGGCTGGCCTCGGAGTGACGACCGGGCCTCCGTCTGCCGCGCCCCTCAGCCCGTCCGGAGGCCTGTCCCCGCAGCCCGGCGTCGGCGCCCCCCTGCCCTTCCACGTAAGTCGATGACGTCACGCCGCCATTGTCTTCCAGCCCGTGCAGACGGAACCGAAGTGCGCTTCACCGAGGCCCGGAGCGAACAGTGCGTTTGAGTGAGTGTGTTTTGTTTGACAGAAGGGTCTACCTGCGACCGACGAAGCTCCCGCGTCCGATGCCCCCGACTCCACCCACGGTCCGGTTTTAGTTCCCCAGCCCCCCGTGGAAGCTGCCCCCAGTGTACCTCCCGCCGTGTCCACCCCGTTTAGACCGTCTATCGTCGCCTTTACCCCCGCACCCTTCAAACCTTCCATCGTTTCGTCCACTCCCGCCTTCAAACCTTCTGTTGCTGCTTCCACTCCTGATCCCTTCAAACCATTTGTTGTTGCTTCCACCCCCGCCTCCGTCGAACCCTCTGTTGTTGCCTCCACCCCTGCTTCCTTCAAACCTTCTGTTGTTGCCTCCACCCCTGCTCCCTTCAAACCTTCCGTTGTTGCTTCCATCCCCGCTTCCTTCAAACCCTCAATCGTTTCTACCACCCCCGCCCTGTTCAAGCCATCCGTCGTTGTTCCCGCCAGCGCCCCCACCCCCTTCACCCCCTCCCCCTTCAGGACACCCGTCGCGCCCCGCTCCCCTCCCCCCTCCCCAACCGCGCCCGGCTCGCCCCCAGCCCTGGACACCCTGGACGTCACAGCCTGCAGCGACCAGGCCACGTCCAGCGACTCGGCCCTGGCCCAGGCCCTGGAGGTGCTGGAGCAGGAGCTGGCGAACCAGATGCGGGAGGTGGCGCTAAAGTCCCCCATCGTGGAGGCCTCCGTCGTGGACCTCGGGCCGCCGCACGACGTGCTGCACGGCCCCGTGCCCGTGCTCGTGCAGAAGGTAGTCCTGCTGGTCGTGGTGCACGTTGGCGGACTGCTCAGTCCGGGGACTCCTATCGGTGCCGGTTTCCTCCTTCTCGTGAGACATGTCGCAGTGGGCCAGAAGACTGGCGCCGGCGGTCAAAACTCTAGACGCGTTTTGAGCACCAGAGTCGCTAAACAGGCCTCGAACTAAGCATGTAACCCCACCAATGGATTCCTCGTTCGGAGAGCAATCCATTGGTGGGGTCACACGTTTGTTTGAGTCCCATTTAGCGACTCTGGGAGCTAAAAACACATCCGGGATTTTGACCGCCTCCACCGGTTTTCTGGCCCACTGTGCACCGTTGTTGCCTCCCTGAGGGCCTTTTGCTTCGGGTACTCTCGGTTTCTTCCTCTGCCTTCCCGGCGCGAAACAAGTTCTGCCGCGGCGCGCGAAAACGCGACGGGCGCTTTGACTGCAATGTCCGACGGACGTCCCTCGGCCGGCGTCAGCACTCTGCCTGTCCGAAAGGCGTCGCGTCAGCCACGCTGACGCCCTTCACGGAGCGGCAAGGCAACGGCCTCGACTGCCATGCCGAGGGTTTGGTGGCGGCCTTCGTGGGTGTTGGTTTTGGGTTTGGGGGACACAGCTTCTTTGGTGCTGCTTGATCAGGATGGTGTCCGGTATTCAGTGGTGTAGTACGTTGGCGGCCACCTTGTGCTGCAGGGCTAGTGCATCCTGGAGCAGGCCCTCCACCTTGTCACCTACTTCGCATGCTTCTCCCTGTCTTGTGCACGTCCCAATGGTCCTGTCTTCTTCTTCTTAGTGGAATGGTTATCTGAAAAGCATGCGCTCTAGACGGCAAAGTCACCCTTCTTGGACCTGTACGCTGTTTATCTAGTACCTTCTTAGATTGTCTTCTTGGCCTGCGCCTGTCTCTAGCGAGAATGCTGTGCTGTGTTACAGGCTCCTCGCGTCGGAACGTCGCATGTGAGCGCTCCCAAGCCCCAGGTAACTAGTGTGACAGCAACCAGTAACACCGCTTTTAGTATTTTCAATCGGCTTATTAACTACACATGCATTTTTCGTATCTTTATGTCGCACTGCTGCGCTACCGTGTTGCAGAAAAATAATGACAAGGTCCTGAAAACCCGAAGAGGGCACGTGTTCAGCTTACAGGCATTCTCACTGATGCACAGTGGGCCAGAAGACCGGTGGTGGCGGCAAAAACTTTAGACGCGTTTAGAGGTCCAGAGTCGCTCTAAACAGGACTCGAACTGAGCGCGTGACCCCACCAATGGATTCCTCGTTCGGAGAGCAGTCCATTGGTGGGGTCACACGATCGGTTCGAGTCCTGCTTAGCGACTCTGGAGCTCAAAACGCGTCCAGGATTGTGACCGCCTCCACCGGGGTTGTCCAGGCGCCTGGCCCGCCGAGCAAGCGTGCCTCGCGGCGCCGCCTACTGGCAGGCGCTCCGCCCGGCGCGGCGCCACCCCGTAACGCGACGCGACTTGACTGGGCACTGCGCGACGCTAACGCGAGTTAGCGCGAGCTAACGGGACTTGGCACCTTGTTTGCAGACGCCCTCGGCGGTGTCCGGCCCCAGGCCGTTCGGCAGCCCCATCGGCGCGCCCTCCGCCCCGGCGCAAGCCCCGTCCAACGCCTTTGGCAGACCAGCTACTGGTGAGTTTCCACTTTATTTCCATTTCAAAAAAAAAAAATATGACAGAAAAAATGACACGTGACGACGGGCGGTATTCAGAGGACTTCGTCGTCCTTTGTCTATTTCTGGGCGGGTAGTGTCGCCACGTAGCCTCAGGCTGCCTCAGGCTCAAACGGCGATGAGAGTTTCAGCAGAACACTCAAACGGCTCGCGGGTGTTACGTCAGCCGTTGCCAAGAATTCGAGGCTGCGAATTCATCGCTGTCCACCGCGTGGCTCGTAATCGCACCACGGCTTTTGAGCGGTGGCAGTCTCACTGTCAGAGCAATTATAATATTAATGAGGCAAGGTTGTACCTTGTTCTTTGAAACAAGCTGAGGATATGCTTCAGTGGTCTGGAGAGAGATGCAGCACTTCGTAGACCCTGTCGATGGTAGAGAGACGCTAATGGAGCATGTTTGCACGCCGCGGTCAGGCACTCTCTAACACTTCGGACGAATTGCCAGATTTCATGGGTTTCTAACTCAGAAAAGACGAGGGTTATTCAAGCGATACAATTTAGACTAACGTGACGCTTGTAACCTTCGGCAGCTGCGAGGTTCACACCCCTAAAATCTGGCGTTTTGTCCCTGACGGCCCACTCGGCGCCTTGCCTGTACGTGTATGTGATGTCACTGTTCTGTCATTGTTCTGTCACTCTTGTGTCCGTGACTCTGTGTCGGCGTTGGAGGAGCTCCTCAATCTCGCTTTCTTTATAGCCATTGTACTGAGTTTGTGTGTCGCGTCGCCTCGGCGCGGACCCAGGTTTCTCCCCGTCCGCAGGTTACACCCCCTCGCCCGTGTTCGCCCCCTCCTCAGGGTTCGCGCCCTCCTCAGGGTTCGCCCCTTCCTCAGGGTTCGCTCCCTCCGCGGGTTTCTCCACCAATCTGAAACCGCTCACCAAGCTGCGAGGTAACGGGGCAACCCTGGCGACGCCCTTGGCGGCGACGCCCTTGGCGGTGCCCCGGCGAGGCCCTTGCCAGCGCCTTGTCTGTCGGGAGCGCCACCACGGCGCACAGTGGGCCAGAAGACCGGCGCCAGCGGCCAAAATTCGAAACGCGTTTTGAGCTCCAGAGTCCCTAAAGAGGACTCGAACCCAGCGTGTGACCCCACCAATGGATTCCTCGTTCGGAGAGCAATCCATTGGTGCGGTCACACGATCAGTTTGAGTCCCATTTAGCGACTCTGGAGCTCAAAACTCGTCCGGGATTTCAACCGCCTCCACCGGCCTTCTGGCCCACTGTGCAAAATGGCGCTGGCCGGTCCGGGTGGCGCCCCAGCTTGTGTGACGTGTGACGCGAGTGCATCGAGTGCCGCTCCGCTTGGCCGCCGACGCCGACCCGGCCACAGCGGCCGCCACGCCGCGGCCCCTGGCTGCCTCTGCCTGCCCCACGGGCACGGCGTCCAGGGGCGTCTGGCCGCGTCGCGGGGCACCGACACCCGTCGACAGTGCCCGGCAGTGCTGAGGCCGTGGCGTGGCCGTGGCGGCAACACGGCGGCCTGGTTGTAGGCCTTAGCCTCTAACAGGCCTCTGCCTCTAGCAGGCCTCTGCCTCTAGCAGGCCTCTGCCTCTAGCAGGCTGAGGCCCCAGGCCTGCAGGCCCGAGCTCGGCCACTTTGCAGTGCTTTGCAGCTGCGGACCCGCCTCACCCGCCTCACCCCAGCAAAACCCCCACTCCGCCAAAACCGCGCCCCGAAGTCATGTCTCCGCCACGCCGCACTGCCCGGGGTTCACGTCCGGCGATACCCCGCGTGCACGAGGCACGGGGTAGCCGCGGCTGAAGTTGTGGTGGCGCGGCACGGCGGACGGAGATACCCCTTGCACGCAGGAAAAGCGATTTGATGGCAGCACTGTGTTCAGTTTCGGTTGTGCAGAGCGAGAAGCGGCATCACGGCCGCAGAACAAAATCCGCACTTTTGAGAGCTGCTGCGATTAAAGTCCCAAAATTACATAACACAGAGCTTCCCATCCCAACTCTCCCAACCTCGTCAAGATTTCGAAAAAGCTTCAATAATTAGGGGACTGGTTCAATGCTAACGAGGGAGAGGTAACTTCGGCGGACCGGGGGTGTAACTCTTCAACTCTTCCCCATTCAAGACTCTCCTGTTTACATGACTCACACAGAAAGGTTTTCTCTTTGTTTCTTTACAGAGTTCAGATCCTTCAATCCCAAGCCCAGACCATTCTCCATTTCCTCAAACTAGACAACCTTTTTTTGTACAAATACGAAAATTTTAACACCAACAATAAATTAAGTTTACGACTGAGCATAGCAGCTCTCAAAAGTTTTGTGCTTTATTAACTGAAATTAGCATTACTCTTAGGCCTACTATTGAAGTATTCTGATAAGTGCTGTACATACGTTGCTGTTCCTGCGAACAAGGAGTGTGTCCAAGTCTTTACATATCATCCGTCTTTCCGGCTCGCTGCTCCATGGGGCCTGGCGCCCCTGGCCGCGAGCCACCCCTTGCTCAAAACTATTTTCTACTTTATATGGATTTGTGTTAATTACTTGATTAGCGTCTTCCCCGACTGTCGCCTAGGACCCGCCAGCTTGTCCGTAGTGTAGCCGTAGCCAACTAAGCAGCGTTCCTCTTGCACACCTGTATTGGCGACTCTTCTGTTCTAGTCTGTAGTCTGTCGCCGCGCCTCTCTAACATGCTTCTGTTTTCTCTTTCTCTCTTCCCGCGTGCTCTCTGTGTGCCCGTCCCTAACCCGCATGCCCGACGGCGTCGTGTGTGTGTGCTGTGTGTGTGGCCGTGACTCTCAGACACTACTGGTGGGGGCGACCGCGTGGTGTGGCCGCCCTTGCCGGACGAAGGCACCTCCCTCGCCACTGCCTGCCCCATCTACGTCCCCCCCAAGCCCAGCGACCCCGTCCTTTACCCCCAGCCGGCTGAGCGCGGCCGCGGAGGCAAGTCCGCCTTCGCACCGGTGCCCCGCGGAGACCACGAGGGCCGCGAGCAGGGCCGCGCGCGCACGCCCACCGTCACCTTCCAGGACGAGATCGTCAACCACAAGAAGATGTCGGTCTGCTCGCGAGAAGTGTGCGACCTGTCGGCGCGCCTGCAGACGCTCACGGCCGCGCTCGCCACGCACATGATGGTGGAGTCGCTGTCGCGGCCCTCGTCGCCCGTGCCGGACCAGAAGCTGGCCGAGCCCGTGGTGACCGCGCTGCAGAGCATCGTGTACGGGTCGGGCCGCGCCGGGGCCTCGTCGGCCGCCCCCACGCCGCCGCCACCGCCGCCACCGCCTCCGCCGCCGCCGCGGCTCGAGGTGCCCGACGGCGTCTCGACCGGCAAGCCGCGCTGCGTCCGTGGGCTGTCACCGGAGCCGCGGCCGCCCACGCCCGGACAGCTCATCTCGTTCCCGCCGGACTTGCCCCCGGAGATGTCCCGGCCGGCGTCGCGCGCCAGCAGGACGAGCCGCGCGGCCACCCCGCAGCCCGCGCAGCCCGCCTGGCAGACGCCCTTCGTGTCCGCGCTCACCACCGCGCCGGAGCGGCCCTACTCGCCGCTCGAGCCGGGCGTCACCCTCGCCACCAAGGAGGCCCACCGGCAGCAGACGCAGCAGGCCGCGTCCTGCGCGGCCCGGCAGGTGGAGCAGGTGCAGCAGCTGCAGCAGGCCCAGCAGGTCGTGCGGGCGCAGCAGGAGGTGCAGGCGTGGGAGGCGTGCAGGCCCCTGGAGATCGAGGACGCGGCCTCCTGCAGTGGCGGCGGTTGCCCGACCAAGGCCTCCAGCGGGGCGGTGCAGGTCACGGAGTCGACGACGGAACAGCGGCAGGCGTCGTCGCTGCAGTACGCGGCGCGGGAGGCAGAGGCCTCGCAAAGTCGCAGGGTGGAGACCTCAGCCACCCTGCGGCCCGTCGACCCCGGCCCCACACTGCTGCCCCCCGCGCCCAGCCCCGCCGCCGCGGGCCCCGTGGCGGGGCCCATCATGTACCGCGCCACGGCCAGCCCCATCCACATGCGCACCTTCGACGGCGAGCTCGTCACCGAGGAGACGGTCGAGGAGACCAAGATGGCGGCCGAGAGGACCGTGTGCGGCGCCAACGAGACGGAGACCACCGTCATCGAGAAGGAGGTGACGACCACCTACAAGCAGCCCGTCGCCGACGGGTGCTCCGGGCCGTGCGGCGGGGCGGCCTGTGGGGCGCAGGCCGCCGTGCAGTCGTGTGGGCAGCAGCCTTGCAGTCAGGGGCAGTGCGGCCAGGGCCAGTGCGGACAGCCGCGGTGTGGGCAAGCCACCCAAGCCCGGCAGTGCTGCCAGCAGCAAAACACGTGCCAGGGGCAGTCCCGCTGGACCACCTCGGCGACGACCTGCTGCCAGCGGACCCAGCGCTCCTCGTGCTGCTGCCAGCGGACTGCCTCGCTGTGCTGCAACGCCAACGCGTGCGGCGCCATCTGCGCGGCGCAGACCTGCTGCCGCCACATCTCGCCCGTCCTGCTCACGCCGCAGCCCTTCATCCGGAGGGTGACGGACTCGCCGTGCTGGCCGTGCGACACGTCGTGCAGGTCGACGCCGTGCCCGCAGCCGGTGCAGCAGCCTTGCGTCGCGACGCCTTGCCAGGCCAGCCAGGCCGCCCAGGCCAACGAGCCGCCCTGCAGGGCCGCGTCGTACTCGCAGTGCGGGCAGCCCAGTCAGACGAGAGTGGTGCCCATCGAAACGGCGCCGTGCCGCCAACCTGCACCACCATGTCAACAAGGAAGAGCTACGCCGTGCCAGCCAGCCGCACCACCATGCCAGCAAAATACACCATGCCAACCAGCAGCACCACCGTGCCAGCAATCAGCGCCACCATGTCAGCCGGCAGCACCACCATGCCAGCAAGCTGGACGAAGCACGCCGTGCCAACAAGCTGGACAGCCCGGGCGGGCCACACCCTGCCAGTCTACCGCACAACCGTGCCGTTCCAGGCAGCCCTGCCGCACGCCGCGCACCGAGCAGTCTCCCAGTCCGTCGCCGATGGCGCGTCGCGTGTCAGAACCCGCGACCTCCATCGCCCAACGCAGCGCCGCGGCGTCTCCAGCGCCACCACCGCCGCCGCCGACCCAGGCCGTGCCGCTGCCGCCCGCCGACGAGCCCTACATGCCTCGGCCGCCGAGCCAGCTGGCCCCCGCGCCGCGGCCCAAGCGCTCTGTGTCGCCCATCACGGCGGCGCACCGCTGCGTGTCGCCCTTCCTCGCCGACATGGCCGTCAACGCCATCCGCTCGCACTCGCCGGTGCCGGCGCGGGACGACACGCCGCCGCCCGCGGCCAAGCAGTCCACCCGCTGGCCGCCGCCGCCGCCGCCACCACCCATGCCGCAGCCGCTGTACAACACGCGCAACCCCGTGCACACTGAGGGCCAGCGGCGCCTGCACCAGCACCAGCAGCTCCAGGAGAAGGTGCAGCGCGGCCTGGCGGGCGCGACGCCCGAGCCGGAGCCCGAGGCGCAGGCCAGCGCGTGGACGCCGCCGGGACGCAAGCAGTACGAGCACCAGGCCGACCCCTTCCAGACCAAGATCAACTGGGCGCAGCAACGCAGCCAGGTCTGCCAGCAGCAGCAGCTGCAATTGCAGCAGCAACAGACGCACCAACGAACACAACTCAAGCAGCAGACGCCGACGCCTCCCCCGCAGCAAAGGACTCAATTCAAGCAGCAGACTCCGACGCCTCCCCCACAGCAGAGGACGCAACTCAAACAGCAGACGCCGACGCCAACGCCACCGCCACAGCAGCGTCTTGGGTGGCAGAAACAGCCGCCGAAGCAACCGCCGCCGCCGTCACCAAAGCCACAGACGAGGCAGCCGCAGCAAGCTCCTCAATGGCAGAAACCACAACAGCAGCAACCACCACCGCAGAGACAGCAGCCACCGCCTCAGAGGCAGCAGCAGCAGCCCGCCCAGTGGCTGCAGCAGCAACAGCAGCAGCCGCAGTGGCAGCAGCAACGCGAGTACGAGTTCGACTGGCAGAGGGAGGAGGCGGAGGCGGAGGAGCTGGGCCTCATCCCCAGCCGGCAGGTGGACACGGTCATCGTGTGCGTGTCCCCCACCATCGTGGACCAGCACGGCGGCGAGTTCTCGGGCCTGGACCTCGGCCGCGGCGTCGCCCAGGGAACGAGCCAGGGTGCGTCCCAACCGCAGTACGGCTCCACGCAGTCTCTCGGCCCGTCCTTCAGCCAGCAGGCCAGCCAGCAGGCCAGCGGCGGGTCGCAAGGCTTCGCGCAGTGCTTCAGCACGCAGAGCTACACTGCCCAGAGCCACTTCGCGCAGAGCTACACGGCCCAGACGTCCTCCTCGTCCATGATCTCGGCGCTGACCACGGCGCCGACGCGGGCCTACTCGCCGCTGCACGCGCCGGCCGCCACCATCTCGTCGTCCGGGATGGCCTCGGCGTTGTCCACGGCGACGCGGCGGCCGTACTCGCCGCTGCAAGTGCCCCCCGCCACGATGCGCACCGAGCCGGTGCCGCTGCCGCCACAGACCACACCCTGGGAGCCGCCGCCGCGCCACGACGACCCGATCCCCCGCATCCCCGTGAGGGCCGTGTCCCCCGTGGACGCGGCGAGGCGCTGCGTGTCGCCCTTCCTCCGGGACCTCGCCGTCGGCGCCATCCGCTCGCACTCACCGCTGCCCGGCGAGCACCCCGACGACGAGTGGGCGCGCCGCGAGGAGGAGCGGCGGTGGCGCGAGGACGAGCGTCGCCGGCAGGAAGACGAGGAGAGGAGGCGTCGCGACGAAGAGCGCAAACGGCGCGAGGAGGAGCGCAGGAGGCGCGAAGAGGAAGAGCAGCGCAGCCGGAGACGCGCCGAGGACGAGGAGCGGCAGAGACGGCAGGAGGAAGAGTGGCAGAGACGGCAGGAGGAAGAGCGGCAGAGAAGGCAGGAGGACGAGCGACAGAGAAGAGAGAACGAAGACCGCCAGAGAAGGCAGGATGAAGACCGCCAGAGAAGGCAAGAGGAGGAACAACAGAGAAGGCAGGACGCGGAGCGACAGAGAAGGCAAGACGAAGAACGCCAGCATCAAGAAGAGCTCGGAAGGGCGAGGCAGGAGGACGACGGAAGACACCCCTTGGAGAGGATCTCCATGAAGGAGGCGCTGACCATCGCGTCGGACAGGCCGTACTCGCCTTTCGTGATCCTGCCCCCGCTGGTGGAGTTCACGCCGTGCTGCATGGCGGAGACCACCCCCTGCCAGCCCATCCCGCTGCAGACAAGCGCGCCGTCCGGGCCGCCCTCGCAGGCCCAGCGCGGACCGCAGTTCAACCCCGTGGACATGCCGCAGCTGCTGCGCAGGCCCAACGAGGCCCTGGGCGCCTTCCGCCCCTTCCCGTCGTCGTCAGCGTCGTCGCAGGTCTCGGACAGCAGGAGGGTGTCGTCCGTGGCTCTCTGCTCCGTCGTGGAGCACACGGACGTGCGCTCGCCGTCGCCGAGGAGGGACTTCGAGGTGTACGTGCCGCGCTCGCCCACGCCCAAGTCGCAGGGCCATGCCGCGCAGGCCCCCGCCAAGCCCACCAGGGCGCCGATGCCGCTGGAGGAGAGGAAGCGCCACCCGTTCGTGGAGAACCCCCAGGGGCTGCGATCGCCGCACGTGGTGCCGAGGTACCAGCAGACGAGCAGCGCGCCGCAGCCGCCACCGCGCGCGGCAGGGGCGGCCTCCCCCATGCAGTGCACCGCGCAGCAACAGGCGCCGACGAGCAGCCTCAAGGACCAGCCGGCAGCCAAGCCGGCCGCGCAGCACACCCAGCAGCAAGCCCCGCAGCAAGCCCCGCAGCAAGCCCCGCTGCCACAGCCGACGACCGTCCGGAAGACGCCACCGCCCAGCCCTCGGCCCACCGCCGGGCAGCGAACCACCCCCACGCCAGGCTTCGCCGTGTCGCCGCTGGCGGGCAGGGCGTCCGTTTTCGGCGGTGGCCTCCGCGCCGCCGCCCCGGCCTTCAGCCGCGAGAGACAGGGCCCCGCGTCCGAGCCCCAGCGACGCGCTCAGCCCGGCATCCCCAAGCAGGCGGGCAACCACCCGCCCCTCAAACCCTCCCCGCTCTGCACGCCCCCGCCCGCCTTCACCCTGCCCGACCCCGAGCCCGACGAACCCCCCAGACGTTCATTCCAGCGAGTACCCGACTCGCCCCCGGCAGTTGTCCCCGCCCCCGCTGCCCCGTGCCCCTCCCGCTCCCAAGCCCCCGCTGCCCCCTGCCCCAGCCGCTCCCAAGCCCCCGCCCGCCCCACTCCCCCCGCACCTGCACCGACGGACTTGCACCCTGGTTGTTCCCTCCCCGACGCAGGTGGACCTGGGGGCGCCAAGGGAGGCGCGTTCGCCGGAGCGTCCGCGCCGATCAGGGGCCGCGGCATCCTCAACCCCGCGGCCATCGGCGGCACCAGGATCCCGCTGTGCGGAGCCTGTAACCAGCAGATCAGGTACCGACCAGCACCGACCGTGTGCGGCATGTGTGGCTCGCCTTGCCTCGCCTCGCCTAGACGCATGCTGACCTGCACAGCACACCGTGCCAACCGGAATCTTCTCCTCTCCTCAGAAGCTGCACCGCACGCCCGTTTGTCTTATTTTTGAGAACACGACTCCTTGCTTATTTACAGGACATTTACCGCAGGGTTTTTGTTGTTGTTTTGTTTCTAAAAAGTAGTCTTAATAATACTGTCCACCAAAGCAACTGTTTTTGTCTTGAACGCATAATGTTGATGGCGTTGATGGCTCTGTTGAGATTGTTTGTTCTGCTGTGTTATTTTGTCCACTAACTTCCTGTTTAGTCGTGTGCGTGCGTGTTGTGGCTTTAACTGCACGGCTTCCTCGTTGTTGTCTACAGAAATCCGAGACGCCCTGGACAGGGATGAGTACCCCGTGTGCATCAGATGCAATTCGGAAATCACGAGGTAAAGTTTGACTAGCATGCTGGTAATCTTTTGAAAAGGTTTACAATATTTCCAAACGATCTGATTGTTCTAGTAGTGCAACGCAGTTTCCGAAAAGTAATCCTAAATTCGGAACGATTCTCACAGCAAATGTTGCGCACTTGCGGTATAACGACAAACTCACGAAAATTCGGAGGAGATTGGACACTTTTGGAAAACTTCACGAATGCATGGGTAGTCATTGAATGTTGGTGTTCGCCAGGGGTCCATTCATCACCGCCCTGGGCAAGATCTGGTGCCCCCACCACTTCGTGTGCACCAACGCCAAGTGCGCGCGCCCTCTGCAGGACATCGGCTTCGTCGAAGAGAAGGGCTGCCTCTACTGCGAATACTGCTTCGAACAGTTCATTGCACCGCCGTGCGACAAGTGTGGCCACAAGATTAAGGGGGTGCGTGTCTGCCTGTGCCGTCTGGTTTCACTCCACATGTTGTGTCTTTGTCACGATTTAGGCTTAATGGTATTGATCTCTGTCGGCAGGATTGCCTGAACGCGATCGGCAAGCACTTCCACCCAGAATGCTTCAACTGCGTCTACTGCGGGAAACTGTTCGGAAACAGCCCCTTCTTCCTCGAGGATGGCCAGCCTTACTGCGAGAACGGTAAGTCGCATTCAAACATTTCATTTTTTGAGTTTTTATTGCAGTCTACAAAGTTGTTTCATTTTTCGAACTCTCTTTCAGATTGGAACGAACTGTTCACCACAAAGTGCTTCGCTTGTGGGTTCCCCATCGAGGCTGGAGACCGCTGGGTTGAAGCTCTCTCCAACAACTACCACAGCCAATGCTTCAATTGCAGCGTAAGTTTTTAAATCCTCTATCCGAAACAAACCATTTCTAATGAATTGAAAACTGAAATTTAATTCAACTTCTTTTTCTATTGAAAATAGATGTGCAAGAAGAACCTGGAGGGACAGAGCTTCTTCGCCAAGGGAGGACGACCCTTTTGCAAAAACCACGCTCGTTAGATGGCGCGCCCTCCGAGCGGCCCATTTGACCCGCTCCGCCCGACCGCCACCTGGGAGGGAGTCGCCATCATCCCGCAGCTGCTACAAACGGTGCACGCCGCTGCGGCGCGGCGAGGCGGCGAAGCCCACCGCCAGCTGAAACGCACCGAGCCCTTATCACCCCGTGCCCGTGTGTGTGTGTTTGTGAGTGAGTGTGTATGTGTGCATTGATGTGTGTGAGCGCGCAGGTGTGAGAAGATTGTGCGTATGTGTGAATGTGTGTGCGCGCGCAGCCGCTGCCGAACACTGCCGAGTAGTACATCCTGGCCGTGGCGGTGGCCCTGGGGCGTGGACGCGTGTGTGTCTTTTCTTCGAGCAGTGTGACCGAATATGATGGAATCAGACGCAGTTTCCTACCCAACGAGACTTTGCGCGTCACTGCGATGAACTGACCCGGGCTCGCCACGCCACGCCCCCTCCACCACCGCGGCCAAGAGCGGTGTCGGCGTGGCTAGGGTCTCATCCTGGCCGCAGCCGACCCGCAGTCAATCAAAATTATGGACCTCGCACAATGCATGAAGAAAGAGAGAGTGCTTGAGTATGTCGCCGAATGAAGAGACTCTGGAGTGTTTCTCTGTCAAATAGCTGTGTATTTTGCTGGGGAGATTGTCATCCCTAGGGAGAGCTTGTTTTCTTTTAAGATGTTCCTTGCAAGACTAATTCAGCTTTCTCCTCTAAAGTATGGAATAGTACACACCATTCAAACTTTGCTTGCTTTAGGTTTCTCTTCACCTTCTCTTCAAGTTTCAAGTTTTCACAATACTTTTTTCTTCTTTGATACTTCTATTTAGTAACGCATCTGCTTGATTTAAAGAAACAGAAAAAAAAAGACAAAAGTATTTAAACAGTTTTGTGAAAATAACCCCATAATATATTTTGCATCTTTAAAGACCGATAGCAGGTCACTTTATTTGTAATGTTTATGTTAATTACCTGTGCCAAAGACTCAACTAAGTCATCTTTCATTAACAGGTACGAAAAGACTCAAAGTTGATCCCACATTGTTTTTGAATACTTCCCTGCAACGATCGTTGTTTTGTCTTATGTAATATACACTGTACATTGATATTTTTTGATTGTTACTGTTATCCATAATAGACCATTAAAATCGATCGTCTGGGAGTAATAATGTAACACCTACAAAGGAGGGAGTTTCAAATAAAAAATTATTTGTCTAAAGACTTGCTCTGTATTTTTATTTATTTTCCCGGCATCACTCAAAACAGTTACAGCTTTGACGCACCCGCTGCAATTCGGAAATATAGTACGTACCGAATTACAGATTTTCTGTTTCCATATTCTTTATCACAAATCATTATCAACACAAGCTTCAAAAATTTGAAGAATTAATGATGTTCCACAAAACTAATGACAGTAAACTTAAAATACTTTGACTAGAATATTAGCAATGATAAAAATTTCAGGTACTCTCTAGCTGCTTGTTTTCTTTTCTCAACATACACGAAAACTAAACTGGGCGTTTGAAGCCCTCGCAACAAACAGTGTTCTTGTTCTCACTCATGAAATACGCATCAATTCATAAAACCCTAGACTCTCGGTGACAGTCCCAGCCCGTTTGCGACGGTGACCCCGTCAGCCGAGCCGCACGGTCTGCACCATGGGCACCGAGTACAGGATGTTGAGGAGGGCGCTGCTCACGAGCGTCACGGCGCGCTTGGCGTTCTTGACGCGCGCGCGCAGGCGGCCCAGCATGGACTTGCGGTCCGCCGGCGGCGCGGGCGGCGGCGCGCGCACCTCTCGCATCCGCTTCAGGTTGGTGTAGGCGTACATGTAGCAGGCGGGCGTGTCGCTGACGGTGTGCACGCGGTGGAAGGCCGCGCTGGGCACGGCCGCGCTGCCGCCCGCCTCCAGGGTCACGTTGGCGCGCCGGACGTGCGGCGCGGCCGGCGCCCCCGTCACCGCCGGGTTCAACTCCAGCACCACGCGGCCCTCCAGCACCGTCAGCGTCACGTCCTCCAGCTGGTCCGAGATGTAGTTCTCCAGGTGCAGGCCGGGGAAGTCCGCCACGAACAGCGCGTCCGAGTAGTTGGACCGCGATTGCACCTGCGGAGGACGTGGCCGTCAGCAACTGGTAAAATGCGTCTCATTCGGGAAACGCCCAAAATTCTACTCGCGGTCTGAGCTCCAGCCAGAGTCGCTGAATGGGACTCGAACCGAACGTGTGACCCCATCAATGGATTGCTCTCAGAACGAGGAATCAATTGGTGGGGTCACACGTTCGGTTCGTGTCCTGTTTAGCGACTCTGGAGCTCAAAACGCGTCCAGAGTTTTGGCCGCCCCCACCGGTCTCCTGGCCCACTGTGCTACCTGCGCCTCCAGCTCGCGGATGCGGCGCCGCATGGGCGACAGCTCCGTGAGCAGCGGCATGACCCACGGCACGCGCATGAAGGGCGACCAGGGCGCGGCCAGCAGGTCGACGCGGGGGTCGAAGATGCGCTGCTGGAAGCGGCCGTTGAGCGAGCACCACACGTCCACGTGCACGGCCAGCTTGTCGGAGCGCAGGCCTGTGGGCGACGGGCCTTTCGACGGCCCCTTGGACGGCCCCGCGACCAGGGCGCCGCTGTGGCGCCGCAGCTCCGCCTGCAGGTTCCGCTCCACGCACGTCGCGTACTGCTTGGCCATGTCGGCGTGCCGCGCCCACCGGTCCGAGAACACCCACGCGTCCGGGTCCAGGAAGTGCTCGCGACCCGTGTCCTTCTCCACCACCTTGACCACGACCAGGATCGTGTCCCAGGAGTGCACCATCATGTCCCACGAGTAGCCGTACAGCCCGTTGGTCCAGGTGTTGTAGCCCTGCAACGGCAATCGTGTGATGTGGGCTCATTGTAGAAAATCGCGGAGGTAGGGTGTGCTTTTTGGGGTTCCCCGCCGCCGGCCTCTTCTGGCCGTGGCCTCACCTTGGTGATGAAGTGCGAGTAGGGCAGGAAGAGCTGCATGCCCGTGTGGCTGAGCAGCAGCGCGGCGGTCAGGTGGTGGTACCAGCGGAGGGGCGGCGCCGGCGCCCTGGAGCCCCGGTCCTGCTTCTTGCCGGCCGGCACCTCTGTCGACGACAAGATGGTAAACAGCTTGCTAAGAATGGTAGCTATACAAGGTCGCAGCGCAACTCCTTCGCTCTTACCGGGAAGCAGAAGACAGCCCGCGTCGACGACGGCGTCCTTGTGCAGCGCGGGCTGCTGCCACGGCCAGGGCTGCGGCGGCGGCGCCTCGGCCTCGGTCTTGGCCTTGTCGTCGGCGTCCTGGTGCCGCCACCAGTGGCGCCACCCCGCGCGCAGACGCCGCGGCCAGTCGTTGTGGCAGAACAGCGGCATGGTGGCGAGGCACACGTAGGGGAACATGCCTGCTCCGCGGAGACAGACGGAGGAAAGTAAGAAATTGAGAAAAGGGGAGCAGCTGGCGCACAGTGGGCCAGAAGGCCGGTGGAGGCGGCCGAAACTCTTGACGCGTTTTGAGCTTCAGACAAGGGGGAAATCACTCTTAAAAACTGTGACCCGACTACTCCCTATTACGTTCTATTACGCTATTACAGAAGGCTTATTACGCTCAAAAATATCCAGATTTAGGCTAAAATCGGACCCTAAATAAAGGAAATTTTAAGAAATTTGGCTATTACGCTATTACTATTACGCGTAATACTAGGAATCGGTGACCCGACTATTACGCGAGTGATTTCCCCCTCGGCTTCAGAGTCCCATATAGCGACTCTGGAGCTCAAAACGCGTGTCTTGGAAACTGGCGACTCACTCACCAATCATAAACAGGCGCGAGTTCATGAGGTGGAACATAGCGCAGAAGATGAAGGCCACCGGCCGGGTGGCGTCCAGCCACATCCAGAAGCCGATCGTCAGGTCCAGGGTGAAGCCCACGATGTGCACGATCCAGAAGTCCACCTGTTCCGGGGACAGCACCAGCCTGGCGGGGGTAGGTGCACTCGTGACTCGGTCGGTAAGGGCTGACAGGAAACAAGTGAGGGTTGTACTCACTTGAAAGGGTCGAACACCCAGTGGCTGTTGAGGTGCCTCATGGGGAACCCTCCGATCCAGTCCGGGTCGAACTTCTTGACGCCGGCCAGGAAGTAGAGCAGGAAGAACTGGACCCGCAGCGCGGTGTAGTTCCACAGCGGAACCGGCCGGTCGCGCCAGCCGTGGCGCCACGCGTCCACGGACCTGCGCACGAGACACGAGTCAGCCAAGTCCTTCCTACAGTGTACCGGATGGACTTGTGGGCGGTCCTACCAGTAGTGATGGGCGCTGGACCGGCTGAAGAGGAGGGCCACGATGCCGAACAAGTACGAGTGGTTGTTCCAGCGGCTCTTGTCCAGCAGCAGGATGTACCAGTAGGGCGCGGCGAACAGCAGGCAGCTGAGTCGGAAGCGGAGGCCCAGCATCATGCCCACCGCGCCTGCAAGGCAACGGCTCGCGGCGGCATGAGGTTACAGTGCACAGTGAAGTGAGGGCCAGAAGACCGGTGGAGGCGGCCAAAACTCTAGACGCGTTTTGAGCTCCAGTGTCGCTAAAGGGGACTGGAACCGAACGTGTGACCCCACCAATGGATTGCTCTCAGAACGAGGAGTCCATTGGTAGGGTCACACACTTGGTTCTAGTCCCATTTAGCAACTGGAGCTCAAAACGTGTCTAAAGTTTTGGCCGCCCGCACCGGTCTTCTAGCCCACCGTGCGCTGGTCGCCTCCACCCGCTCCACTCACCTGTCCATATGGCGAGGTACAGCATGCACATCCAGGGCAGCGGCAGCGGCGTGAGGAAGTCGAACAGCGGGAAGTAGCACTGCATCGGCTTGGCCCAACGCAGGTCCGCCTCGCCCAGCCCGCGCTCCTCCAGGGTGTCCACCGCCATGAGGAAACCTGCAGCAGCAGCATCCCGGGTTCGAATCCCGTCTGCTTCTCCGGGCTTCGTCGCGATAACGGTTTGAGGAAGTTCCGCGCTTGTTTTCCGTGTTTTTCCGGCGGCCCGACAGACTTGGCGGCGGCGTGGCGGCGACGCGCCGGGCATTGCGATAACGAACGCCACGCCGCCCTCCGCCCGGCCGCCCCGCCCCGCCCCGTATCAGCCCAGCCGTCTTGTTATTGCCTTTTAACCGGCGATGACTAATTAGCTGGCTAGACACAATGCGGCCACCATCCCGATCGCGACACGCGCGCGGCCCGCGGCCCGCGGCCGTCAACAAGCTGTCAGCTTCGACACTCATTTCACTTTTTCGTTGCCTCACCGAACAAGATCCGCGCGACGGCGAGGGACGCCGGGTCGGTGGGGCGGTACAGCAGCGCCACGAACCGCCTCCACGAGGATAGGTCGGCGACGTCCACGCCGAACACGGCGCGGAAGGACCAGGGCGTGTCCTTGGCGTCCTGGGCCGCCTCCTTGGCGGCGTCCTCGTCCTCGGTGCTGTCCAGGGCGGCGGCCTTGCGGTCCATCGCGGCGACGGCGGCAGCGTCACCGGCCGACAGGAGCCGTCGCCTCAGCGCCATCTGCGTCGACATCAGAGTGATGGGGCTTTTCGTCTTTTCCGGCCAACCGCTCCAAACTGCGCGCGTCCCGTCCCCGCCGTGGCGGCGACCGCCGCGACGCACCGCCAGCACCGCCAGCACGCCGATGGCGGCGATAGCGCTTCCAACACAAACACCGGCACGGCGGTGCGGAGCGGCGTCGCAGCCGCGGTGGCACCCTCTGTCCACGGCGTGTGCCCGTGCACACGACGTGAGAGGCCTGCCGCTCTGGGCCTCGCCGGCATGGACTTCGGCGTCGCTGTCCCCGGCCCGGCCGGGAGGTTCCAGAAGCAGGCGGACAGCACCGGCCCGCGCTGGTTTCCCCGGCCGCGGCCGGGCGGGACTTCCCCGCGTACTCACCTCGTCGCACACGGGCGTGGCGTTGACGTCCTCCCTGCGGCCGATGTCCGCCGCGTGGCTAGGCAAGCGGCAAGGCCGGCAAGGCTCTCGGTGGTCTTGGTCGTCTTGGTCTTCCTCGCCGCACCGACCGACGCCGCGCCACGGAGTCACGGAGCGCTGCGGTGCTCTGGCCAGCAGCCCTGCCCTGCTCCGCCCTGCTCCCCACCAGCCGGCCGGGCAGGCTGGCCGGGCTGGCTCTGGCTGGGCCTTGCGCAGCGTGCGCAGCGTGCGCAGCGCCACGCCGGCCTAGGCTGCGCCATGCTGCGCCATGCTGCGCGCTGCCCCCGCCCCACCCGTCGCATCCTCCCTTCCGCATCCACGGCCGCCCCACGCTCGATCACTTTGGAAACTCCACTGTGTGTGCGTGCGTGTGTGAGTGAGGCACTGTGTGTCGCCCTCCGGCCTGTCTCTTTCTTCAGCCCCATAAAGGCAGCCAAGGGCGAGGGCGGGGCCTGCCAGGAGAAAAACAGCCCCGATCGGAAGCAAAAGTTCGGCGGGACGCGCGACACGCCGGGATTAAGTGCTTGCTGGTCCGGCTGCGGGTGCTGCGGGCTGACTCCGGACATCGGTCTCGTCGCTCTGTCTCGCTCACACTCGCAGGGCGTCTCGTATGGGTGCGACGGAGACAGAGCGACGGAGTACTGTTCGGAACTCAGAAGCAGCGCTGCGGGCGGGACGGGCGGGACGGCGGCAGCACAGGACTCGCGCTCCGCCGCAGCCACTGCCTCCGTTCAGACGACACTCCGCGTTCAACTGAGGCTCCACTTGGACTAGATCAGCTGGGCCAGGCTGGGCGTCGCAGGGGTCGCGGCCCGGCCCGAGGGCCCGAGGGCCCGAGTAGAGGGGTCAGCCCTGGTCACTCATCCTGTCGCCGTGCAGCTGGTCTGCCGGTCACTGGTCAGCTGGCCGGGCTGCGTCCGAGTCGACGCGGCCTTGCCGCTGCGCTGTCGGTACGGCGGCAGGGCGGCGCGCGTTCGGACGCAGCCGCCCACTGTGTGTGTGTGTGTGTGTGTGTGTGTGTCGCACTCACCGCGGCGATCACCCGGTCGGGCCCAGACAGCAGCACTCAGGCCAATGGACCAACCGACACTATGATTCACTTGAGGGCTCACAGCGACATAACGCCCGCGTCAAAGAGCACGGCACACTGTAAAAACTTTTCCCTCTTTTCTTTTCTTTGTTTTACATTTGCAGTTTCACTTACGGTGCGAGCCATGGGCGTGAAGAAGCACTTGCTTCTGCCGGCAGACACGCTTAAGCTGTAATTTTTCCCCTTCATCGGATTGCTGTCAGAAGGTGTCAAGTCAACATTGGGCTTCTCTCGGTACGAGGCGACGGGCGGTGGGCTGGCGGGGCCGGCAGGGCGCGCAGGGTGGCCAGGGTCGGTGTCCTGTTCGCCGCGGCGTCCGCAAGCCCTACCGTCCGGTCCCGCGCGGAGAGCGAAACTATGTATACCACGGGTACCGCCGCCAACGCCGCACCGTACCGCCACCAGCTGGTGGACAGATTCCGAGTCGTTTTCTGTCTCTCACGCATTCATGTGACGACCCGTAAAGGTGCGAGAGAGACAGCGACAAAGACGACTCTCAGTCTGCAGTGGCGGGCGCCGATTAAAACCGCCCCCATGAATAAAGTTCCACCCCCGCGCCCCGCTCGGCCGGCCGTCGGAAGCGATTCGCGTTCCGCCCATGACGCCCACTTTGCATCGCAGGTCACAAACAACCTCACGCTGCGGGCTGCGGGCCCCAGGGGAATTTCGGCACCGTGACGTGGAGGCAAACTTCAATCAATCATGGCGCGAGGCGCGAGCGTCCCGCCCCGCCCCGCCCCGCCCAGCGACCGGCGGAGTTGGGGGCCGCGGGGCCGCCCTTCCCTTGGCTGCCAGTCGCTGCCAGGGCCCGGGCCGCCGCAGCGGCAGCACGTCGTGGAATGGAAGCTTTGACGGGGCAACGGTCGTCCCTTCTTTTCTCTTCCCCTGCTGTCCCCGCCGGTCCGGGGCCGGTCCCTGCTGCAGTGGGCTGCGGTGCGGCGACTGGAGACTGTCAGGAGCATGATGAGTTGCCTATGCGCACGGCGCCAGCGCGTCCCGCCGCCCGTGGCGCCACCCCCGCGCCGCCCCTCCCCTCCTTTTCCCGCAGACGGCCACCCACCGCCCCACCCACTACAGCATCCGCGAGCCGCGAGCCGGACCGCCTGACTGCGGGCACGTACGGCGGGAACGTACGGCGGGAACGCCTGGACGGCAGGCAACCCAACCACGGCTGCGCCCGTAACGCCCGTAGAGCCGAAGGTCTCCGCTCGTGCAACGCGAGTTCAATGAGCTTCCACGTGATCGCGCACTCCGTCCTCGTGTCAGTTTAGGGATTGTAGGTCGGCCTGACGGTGTGGAAAGCAACCCTGAAGACTATGCAAATTAGTTGTTTACGCCCTACTGACACGGACTGGTGGCAGCACATTTTGGTCCACAGTCAAGTGACGGCGACGCGGAACTTCGATGTCTTCATTCTCATGGTGACGCAGTGGTACTGGGGTTCGATTTCCTGGGGGCTTCGATTCGGCGCGAGCCGAGATGTCGTGGAGGCCGGGAGATCGTTTCGTTCAAACCGTCCATCGTCCCGCGCGTTGCCGTGTTGTTTACATGGTATCCATGACAACGGCGTAGAGGCGCGCTCTGGCCGCGGGACGACGTACCTCACGACCAGTGCCTCAAGTCTCTTTGGCCTAATTACGCATTTTAAGATATGTTTTTTGGAATTCAAGTCCAGATATCTATTTTTGAATGTACCTCTTTGGAGCGGTTAACTCCTGCAGTCGCGATTCATCATTTTTCGAAGTTGGTGGTGATCTCTGCCCGGAAGCTATTTCCTGGGCTTACCGAAAACAAAACACGGCGCACACACACACAAACAGTACATGTGTTGTCGGTGTCGGTCTCCAGAACTTTCTTGAGGGAATTTCCGTGCAATTGTGCGATTTCTGAGTCAGTCGTTGTTTCTCCTTTTGCCTGTTTAGTGGCGTTCCATTATTGTAGTTCAAAATGCCTTCGAACGATCCAGAAAAGTTCGATTCTATGCTACTGGCGATGGCTCAGCAGCATGAGGGTGGTGTTCCCGAGGTAATATTTGTTTTAATCTTATTTTAAATTGTTATTTCATGCATGGAGTGGATACGCAGAACCGACATGCTTCTACTTGTGCTATTGCAGCCTTCACTTCTTTGATTTTTATTGAAGCCAATCTGAAATACTTACTTCATAACCTCCAAATGATAGGACTCCTTTGTCATATTTTGTATGATGCAATTGTGTAATGGTAAAATTTGAAATTTTTGGTTACAGATGCTCGATACCATCTTCAGCTTTCTTGCCCGGAAAACAGACTTCTTTACCGGGGGTGATAAGGGTGCTGCTGAAAAGGTACATCAATGTTCTTAGGTGATGGAAACCAACTTTTAGAGCTGGTTTGTGAGACCTTTACTTTTATTTTGTTCTTGTTTTCTAATTCATCTTGATCCATTTTCAGCTTTTGTTAGGTAAATTCCGTGCACATGAATCTGAAGCGAGAGCTGCGGATGATAAGAAAAAGAAGGAGAGGGAAGAGAGTGAAGCACGACGCAAGAGCCGCCAGGAACAGCGAAGGAAAGAAGAAGAGGCTGAGGAGAAGAAACGGCAGGAGTTCTTTAGCGGTAAAGCAAGTTCACCAAGTTCTGCTGCAGCAGTCCCTAAAGTAATGGAACTCACAGAGGAAGAAGCAGAAAAGCTGCAGAAGGAATTAGATGTGAGTATTCAAATTTCAGTTTAAGGTCTATTAGCTATTGTTCATGGATTTGTCTTAATTTTTTGTCGTTTTGGCTCCAGAATAAGGAGTCGTCTCCAAGCAATACTTCAAGCAAGACTTCAGTTGAAACCGGTGCTGATGGAGATCAGAAGAAAGAAGGGGATGACGAAGAGGAAGAAGATCCCAAGGAGAAAGGGAAATTAAAACCCAATGCCGGCAATGGATGTGACCTGCCTAATTATCGGTGGACACAAACTCTTAGTGAATTAGAGGTAAGTGTTCAGAAGCTGTATGACAGCTGTTTGATTTTCTGTTTGCAGTCCTTGTCATTTTTGTTTGACAAGAAGTCACATTGTAGAAGTACTCTGTTTTAGTAGTGTTTTGATTGGATACTAACAAGTCTTCAGACATAAGCACAACTCAAAACACTTTATTACAAGTATCATAGAGTATTATATAGATTTAGAATACATGATAAATAATATTGACTTCTGAAGCTGAGCTCTCCTTTTGAGATAACCAGCTTCATGTGAACATGTGTGTGTGCGCATGTGGCTGAATGTGTGATAAATTCTTTATTCCTCACGACTATTATTTAACTATCACACAAAAGTCTTCTATTTATTTGTTTAATTTAATTTATCCAGATTCTAACTTTTACAACTTTTTGTTTATGTGGAATCTTCCAATTCTCATATTATGGCATGCTGCTAAAAAAAAATTCCTAATTCAATGTCTGGAAACCTTTCCAGCCTTTCTCCTCTTTCCTTATTGTTTTTTCTTGAAGCAGAAGTGGATGGATCATAGTCCTTTCTTAAAATTTAATTACTTTTGTTAAATATTGACCTTAATCTCACATGTCTGAATAGCTCACACACATTACTTAAAAACACACACTAGCAAATTAAATGGCTGGTATCAGGAGACAAAGGGGCTCAGTAAATCATCATCTTAGATTGAATTTACACACACAGGTACAAACATTTTCTGAATAGTTGTCACACTGTTTTCTCTATCGTGTACTTGTTTCTGAAGGTTATATCACAATATTCTGAATTTTCACTTGATCCAGCACAGCAGTTAGTAGAGCCTCCTTCCCTCCATATCACAGTTGAAGAAAAAAAAACCTCCGAAACTCTATTATTTATCATCACTTCCTTGGATTCATTTGATATGTAGTGCATAGCAGAAATTAAGAAATTGAGCCAAAAAAAAAATTGTGGTCAAAAAGTTTGAATTATGTTTGACATGTTCATTAAGTTTTGCAAGTTTAGTCTGGGTAATACCTTCACTAGTTAGCGGTCTTCTATCATCAAAGGACTTTATCTAGTCTTGCTCTATTGGTGCATACTGCAATTTTTTTCTTTCTAAATTTTGGACCAGTATCACTGGGATGACACAAACAATTATTATTTTTATTGCCTTTGTATCATTTTTATATTTTTTCTTTCTCTTCATTCTCTCTTCAGCTTACCCTTGCAAAGTTAGAACTGACAATTTTGCAAAGGTAAGATGCAAGGAGAATTAGAAACTGTGCGTTTCATATCAAATTTCAGGAATATACTTAATCTAATCAGTAATATACTATACAGAGTTGAAGCTGAAGTTTTCTACATTCAGCTCAGCTTTTTTCAGTGACAATAAATAACATAATATATAACTTAGAATATGTTCTTTGAGTATTTAAGGAAGGAGTATGTTTCATAATACTAGTGATGTAGATGTCATGTCTTGATCACAATTTGAAGATGAGTTGAAGGGTTTACCCTTTGCCTAGCAATTAATTTTTGATGCAAGTTAAACACTGGGATTTGAGCTGATGTTTCTCTTTGCAGCAGAAAGTTTCTACATTACTTGAAGACTTCTTGCTCGCACTGCAACAGAAGAGAATGAATTGAAACTTGAAAATGTCTATCTTCTGGAGAGCTACTTTGAGGAATACTTACTTTCCATGTAAAACACTGCTCCAAAGATTCCAAGGGAGATGATACATGACATAGAGAGTACAAGTGCAGTAAGGCGGTGAGACCTGCAGCAGCACTTGGGCAAGGGCTTTTCCGTACGTCTTGTAATTCCGTTGACCACTGTGAAATGGGTTGACGAGGCCACAGACATTGTGTCTAAAGGCTTTCCAAGTTTGTCGTTGGGGTGCATTGATTCAAGGCGTAGTGCTGCAAGGTTAGCAGCTGTTAGGAGCAAAGCTCCTGATGATCCACTCTGAAACACAGTTTTGTTTTAGTACTATTAGAACCCTTAGACAGCGTAGTCATACTTTTCCCCCTTGGGTTAGTGCTGTTAGATTGAGGGAATTTCGGGATAGCTTTTTGTGGTGAGGCAATTTTTAGTCCAAGCTCAAAAAAAACTAAGAAAGAATTGGAAAAAGAGGCTTTTTGAAAATATTGGCAGGTATGCATGAAGCGTGAGGTTGAATTTACAACAAGTGCACAAGGACTTTTTTATTTTGAGCGTTCTTATGACTAGTAGTCATGCCTGAAAAGGGGCGGGGGGAGACGGCACCGCTGCAGCGTCTCGCCTCGCTTACCTGCGTGCTGTTGTTGCTGCTGCTGGTGGTGCTGGCGGAGCTGGACCCGTGGCTGGATCCCTGGGAGGACGTGGAGTGCCTGCCGTGGCACCCCTTGCACCCCTTGCCGCTGCCGCCGCCGCTACCGCTGCAGCCACTGGAGCCGCTGGCCGACACTCCGGAGCCGGAGCCGCCGCTGAGGGAAGGCCTGGGGATGTGCCAGCCGCCGGGGGCGCCTTGCAGGCCGCCTTGCAGGCCGGGCAGCGTCAGCGGCAGGGGGAGCGGGAGGGGCAGCCCTAGGGCGTCCTCGGCGTGCTCCATCTGCAACAGGAAGCACGAGATTGGAGAGCCGCCTTCGCTGCGCCGCTGCGCCGTGTCGTTGTTTGCGTTTTTTCGCGGGCTCATTGCTGTTGCCCCCTGGAGGGACAACGGTATGGCGCGGCGTGGAAGCCCCCAGTCAGTCTGATCCGCACTTACGCGGGGACACTGTGGGGCACCCGTGACCTTGGGGCGTCCACGTGTTCCGTAACGCATTGTGCACGCGTACCGTACTAGTACACCGCACACCGCACTGCGGCGGCCTGGTGTGCGTGGATCCACCGACCGGCCCGCCACGCCACGCCACGCCACGCCGGCACGCCCGCCGCCGCCAGTCAGGCCGCCGCGCCAGCACCAGTCAGCCCAATTCCTCGGCTTTGCTTTATTGCCGTTGTGCTCGGTGTGCACACGTGTGTGGGCGTGCAAATTCCCACCTCGTGGACCATTTTGCGGCGCGTGCCCCGTATTTCGCAAGTGGTTGGCGGGTCTCCAGGCTCCAGCCGCTCCAGCCGAGCCGGGCGACTTGCAGTGCGGCATCGTCGGCGTGGTGCGCCAGCCTGTCTGGCCTGCCCCGTCCGGCACGCCCCGCCCCGCCCCGCCCCGCCCCGCCCCGCCCCGCCCCGCCCTGGTTGGCGCCGATGCGGATCGGGAAGGAGGTTTGGGATAGGCTGGCTCCATGCGTACTTTTCCTTCCCGGTGGCGCGGCACAGTGGGCCAGAAGACCGGTGGAGGCGGACAAAACTCTAGGCGCGCTTTGAACTCCAGAGTCGCTAAACAGGGCTCAAACCGAACGTGTGACCCCACCAATGGACTCCTCGTTCGGAGAGCAATCCATTGGTGGGGTCACACGTTCGGTTCGAGTTCCATTTAGCGACTCTGGAGCTCAAAACGCGTCAAGAGTTTTGTCCGTCTCCACCGGTCTTCTGGCCCACTGTGCGCGGCGGCGCGGCGCGTTCTGCCGCGGACATGTGACGAACCTTTGCGCGCGTGACGCAGCGTCGCAGCGCCCTCGGCGTTCGCCGCGTTGGCGGTTCGCGGTATCAGCCGCCCGGTTCCGGGAACATGTCTGGCTGACGAGTCGCGCCGCGCTTTGCCGCCCCCGCGCCGCCCATTCCGTTTAATTGCAAACAACCCCAAGGAAAAAACGCGGCCCGCCTGTCGCAACTTCCGCTATGCAGGCGGCGACGTGGCGACCGTTTCGCGCCGTTTTTCGCGCGCTCTGTGGATCGCAGCGTGACGCTTTTGTTTTCTTGTCGTGTCGCAGGTTCGAGTGCCCGTGTCGGCCCCGTTCGCCATCCGGTCCCGAGACGTGGTGGTGACCATCGCCAAGACGCACCTCACCGTCGGCCTCAAGGGCCACCCGCCCATCATCAACGGCGACCTGCCGCACGAGGTGAAGCTGGAGGAGAGCACCTGGCTGCTGGAGGACAACACCACCGTCATCATCAACCTGGAGAAGGTACGGCCGAAAGCAGCCAATTTTGCGCACCAACATGGCCGTGTCACAAGTTAACTGAGTTTTCGAATCGTCCTCCAGGTCAACAAGATGGAGTGGTGGAGCAAGCTGGTGACAACGGACGCGGAGATCTCGACGCGCAAGATCAACCCGGAGCCCAGCAAGCTGTCCGACCTGGACGGCGACACGCGCGGCCTGGTGGAGAAGATGATGTACGACCAGCGGCAGCGCGAGATGGGGCTGCCCACCAGCGACGAGGCCAAGAAGCAGGAGACGATCCGGAAGTGAGTAGTACCCCGTTTGCAGTGGCGTGCGCCTCGAGTTCGCCACCCCGAAAAGGGAGAGGTGTCTCACGACCCCCCGGTTTGGTTGGCAGGTTCATGGAGCAGCACCCGGAAATGGACTTCTCCAAGTGCAAGTTCAACTAGGCGCCGCCTCGTCTCGAAGCCACATTCCCCGGAAAGCTGCAAACGCCCCGGCGCCCCGCCCCGCCCCGCCCCGCCCCGCCCCCTAGACCCCGTGTCGTCCGCCTCCTCGTCTTTTAGTCATGTTTCATTGTGATACCGTTGTGGGTGCGGCCAGCCAGGCCAGGCAGGCCGAGCGCGGCCTCGGCCTTGGACAATTGTTGCGGCAATTTGAGCCGGTATTGTCGCACCCTCTGGGACCCTCTCGGTCTCGGCGCACCTGCACTGCAGTGCGAGTGTCGAGGCGGCCGAGGCCTTGTCGTCGGTGATTGCCGCCACTGTTTCCGTCGGAGGACATTCTGCACAAGGACCTGCAAACTCCGCACCGCGTCTCCTGTTGTCTTTACTTAAGTTTATTATTATTATTCGAGGGGGATGATGGAATAACGTCACTGCTTGGGCACTGACAAATGTACACAATTTTTTTTTGATGCAATGCAAAACTGCATGCCTCTAAAATGGGGGTTGAAAATGCGCACATCGACATTGAGAGATAAAGAACCCCGGTGATAAAGTGATTTTAATGCTCATATGGTATTGAAAATCTTCCCTAGCTAGGCTTTCTTGTAAATTTTCAATTAAATAAATTATACTTTTTTTTTCTTAACATTTTTTACTGTATTTGCACACCTTTTTTCCCCACGACTTTGCACATAATAGCACATAATTTCGACAGGCGAATGAATGTGATCCCTAAATGAACAGTGGATAGTTTTTTGATAATACTATGTGCTACAAACTAAGATTGAAACAGTTTTCATCAGTGAATGCCTCTAAACGGGAGGATAGACGGCTCGCTAACAGGGTAGGAAGTGCTGGTGATGGCTTTGCAAACTTAGCCGGTTCAAGGTACTCAAGACTGATTCATCGCCTTGCATTTTTCGACCACGGAATTGGAGACACCTTACTGCCACCGGGATCTACATCGCAGCAGGGCGCCCGCGAGTCTGCACGCTGATTTCGAACCGTGCCTTCGGCGCTCTGTCTCTCTCGCACTCACGGGGCGTTCCGCAGGGGTGCGAGAGAGACAGAGCGACGTAACGACTCTTCGGAAGCAGCCTGCTGCAACCGGATGCCCACGGTGTGGCTGCACATCGCAGTGCATCCAGCCCGGGCCGCTAACTGCAGGCTTCCGAGGAGTCGGAGTGACTCCGTCTCGCTCGCTCCCTTGCGGAGCGCCCCGTGAGTGCGAGAGAGACAGAGCTCCGAAAACACCGTCCGGAGTCAACCTGCTGGATGCGTTATGAGTTTGTTGTTCGGTGCAGCGCCACGTCGTGCGTCGTCCGCGTCCTCGGCCCGAGGTCGCTTCCTTTAAAACCTCACGGCATAACGTGCGACCCCGGCTGCTTTTTCCACGTTTTTTCCACTCGATTTTATCGCCCCATTAACGCCTTGCTTTGCTAAGTTTCCCCCCAAAGTACGCCGCGTTATAATCCGGCTCGGCCGTGGCGACGCCGCGACCACTCAGTGCGTCGGCAAGGTTTAAGGTTTGGGGAGGAAAGCGAAGTGAAGGGTCAGGGGTCGGTCGGAGGATAACGACCACTGTCAAGGTCCACTGTAAGTGTGTGTGTGTGTGTGTGTCCAGGTTCTGCATCCGCGGTACACTGCCTCTGCAGCAGCCGCTGGGCGTGCCGGGGTGGGGCGGGGCGGGGCGGGCCTGCCTGCGGTCGGTTGAACGCTTCCACGCCACGCCGCGGCCGGTACGCCCGGGTCGGCACGGTGCACGGCAGACAGCCAAGGATACCCGACGGGCCCGACTGGGCAGCACTACGGAGGCTGGGCACGCCCGGCCGCCCCGCCGCTCCGCGCCACGACATGCACCTTTCCTTCCATTCTTGTCTTCCTCACTGCCTGCAAACTGCCGCTCGCCACGCCACGCCGTTTTATTTTAAATTCAGCCTTCCTCCGCCTGCCGCGCTGCGCGGCCCCGCTCACTCCACTCCACTCGTGGCTGAGCCGAGGGCCGCCATTGTTTCCACCGCGACGGCTCGGACGGCTCCATCCAGCACGCCGAAGTAAAACAAACTGACAGTGGCGGGCCGATCCCGCCCGGGCTCTCTCTCTCTGTCTCTCTCGCACCCCTGCGGCACGCGCCACGAGTGCGAGAGAGACGGGATGACGAAGCCTGCTGTCGCCGCGCGCTCCTTCGGCCGAGCAAATCGCTGTAACGGATGGCGGTGAGGTGAGTGGGACATGGCGACTGCCTTCCGTCGGTTTTCACGGGACGTTAAGTTAGCGACTGCGCGACCGCTTGAGCTTGGACTGCCAGCCACTGCCAGCTGGTCGCTGCGGGCGTTTTCATCGCTGTCTCTCTCGCTCTCATGGAGCGTCCCGTACAGGTGCGAGCGAGACAGAGCGACGAAAACGCCTCTCGGAATCAGTCTGCTGTTCTGGACGGCGCCGAGCTGACGGCGGCGCCTAGCTTCGCCTGCTTCGCTTCAGCGAGCGTCGCAGGAAATGAATGGGCTGGGCGTTCGAACCGTTCGAACCCCGCCCCGGTCGGCATGTGCGCATGGCCAGGGTGTCCAGGGACCAGGGCGTCTCCGATCCAATCCAGATCGGCGCGCCATTTGCATATAATCGCTATAAATACGCGCCTGGCTTTGTGTTGATACGGAAACGCGACTCGCTGCGGAGGTGGCGGTGATTTTGACGGCACCACCGCCCCCGCGACGCGCCAAGCAGAACAGAACGCAACGCCCAGTGTCTCCGCGGACTGCGTCTTGGGGCGGCTGGGCGACTCCGCACAGTGGCCCAGAAGACCGGTGGAGGCGGTCAAAATCCCGGACGGGCTTTGAGCTCCGGACTCGCTAAATGGGATTCGAACCGAACGTGTGACCCCACCAACGGATTGCTCTCCGAACGATGAATCTATTGGTGGGGTCACACGTTCGGTTCGAGTCCAGTTTAGCGACTCTGGAGCTCTAAACGCGTCTAGAATTTTGTCCGCCTCCACCGGCCTTCTGGCCCACTGTGCTCCGTCTCTCTCGCTGCCCTACGGGACGCGCCACGAGTGCGAGAGAGAGCGACGGGAGCATGGTTATTAGAAGACAGGCCCGGCCTCGGGGCCACGGCTGCCGTCGGCAAGACTCCTGCCTGACATGACCCCTGGCGCGCCCTCTGGCCAGCCTCTGGCGTGCCCGTGCCCCCGGCTACCGTAGTTGGTAGTTCTGCAGCGTCATGGAAAGACTCCTCCTGGGCCGAGTGAGTCCCGGGACGAATAATCCTAACGAGTCTATGGAACGGGTCTTGGTGGGTGTGCGTGCGTCCAGGCGGTCCAGTCCAGGCCCACGTACACTCGCGCTCCAGCCGCTCGAGCCCTGCAGGGCAAGGCGAACAAGGCAGGCCCCTCGGCAGGCCCTCGTCCCGCGCCGAGTTCAAACCGACCTTCGGTCGGCCGGACCGCCAGCACGCCAACAAGTGCCCCGTCCTGGCCGCCGTGGTCGCGGCCGCCGTGCGACGCGGCGAGCTTCAAGAAGGCCCGGCGGACGGACCGCGCCCCTTTTCGGGCGTTCTGATGTAAGCGTCCAGGAGTCGCCGCCACCGATTTTCAGTGTCCTCCCACCGACAGCCGCGGACTCGCACTCCGAGTCCAACCGGTCAAGGATCCACCGCGCGCGGCGGGCGTCCTCTCCATTTTATTGGCGTGTACATCCTTTTAGGCGGACCTGCGCGTTGCCCGTAAACAGCACAGGACCTGAATTTCCAAGCGCGTTTCGCAAGTGGAGCGTCTTGACTGAAGACCGGAGCCAGAAAGCCCGGCCGACTCGATGAAGCGGAGACGGCGGCCAGTGCCTTTCAGTGATGGGCCCGGCCTGGCAGGTCCGGCTGGCTCATCTGCCTCATGGTACAGTGCAGCGGCCAAGGCTGCGGCCAGACACATCCGCACTTGAGATGCTTCGAAAACTCATTAGGCGCACACCTCTCTCTATCGGAGCGCTAACTTTACTCTACTAATTAAAACCAATGAGGTGGGACCAGGAAGAATGGAAAAGGCATGACGCGAACGAACAGACAGTAGTTAATATGAGTAATTTATTATTCTTATCATCTCATAGTTTTACTGTACCCATGTTCTCAGAAATAAAAAAGTTGCTCCTTTTTTATCGACTTCTATGGTATTCGTGGCCGCAAAAAAAAAAGAAAAACACATTGTGAGCACTGCACTGCAAAAGGCGGTGGTCCACAGTGGGCCAGAGGACCGGTGGGGTTTTGAGCTCCGGAGTCGCTACATGGGACTCAAACCGAACGTGTGACCCCATCAATGGATTGCTCTGTGAACGAGGAATCCATTGATGGGGTCACACGTTCGGTTCGAGTTCGGTTTAGCGACTCTGGAGCTCAAAACGCGTCTAGAGTTTTTGGCCGCCTCCACCGGTCCTCTGGTCCACTGTGTGGCAGCGGCCCTGCTCGGGGTCCAGGACGAGGCTCCCGTCGGTGTTAATCGACCCTCCCCTTGCCCCCGCGCGCCGACGCCACCCCACCGCCAGAAGCCTCGCCTCGCATGCTGCAACAGCGGAAACGCACACAGCAGTGCAGCATCGCAGGGGACAAGTGGCAACAGCGGCATGCATACAACACACCTCGGCCCCTGGCGCGTATCTGCCTTACTCGCCACACTTTCAAAACGCCGCGGATAACGCCGTGGAGGAACAGATCCAGGCGGGAAGGCCGAAGGGAAGGGGGAAGCCCGGCGCGCCGTGAGAACGGGGGCAGGTGGCCCATTGGGTTTGGGCCGCGGCGACGACCGCGGCGAGCAGCCCACGGCGCACCAAGGCCAAGGTCAGGGCAGTGCTCGGACGGGCCGGGCGGCCGGGGCGGGGCGGGGCGAGGCGGGGCGGGGCGGGGCGGGGCGGGGCGGGGCGGGGCGGGGCGGGGCGGGGCCGGGCCGGGCCGGGCGGGGCGGGGCGGGGCGGGGCCAGCGGGCCGTGGAGCTTCACTTCGGGAAGAGAAAGGCCGCGGCCGCTGGAAAGTGTCAAGACCACTGCCACCGGCTTGGACTTGGCCTAGGTCGCGTGGCGTCGCGGACTCCAACCCACGACGGGATGCCTACCCGCGACCCTTGGTCCCTGGTCGCCGGCACACTGATTATCCCGAACAAGGCTCTCGTCGCTCTGTCTCTCTCGCACTCGCGGTGCGTCCGCAGGGATTCAGCCTGCTGCACACAATGCCTGCGATGACGGGGCCCGAACGGCGCGAGGAGAGGCGCGGCGCTGCAGGATAGCCCGGCCTTGCGGGCCCTGGCGGCACGGCGGCGCGGCGTGGCGGCCCCGTCCGCGGCTCCGTGCCGTGGCCTGTGGCGGTGGCTGCCTGTGGCGGTGGCTGCCTGTGGCGGTGGCTACCCGTGGCCCCGTCGCCGGCCGCGGGGGAACGCCAAACGGGCAGGGCGGGCCCAAACAATGAACGGTGTCCTCTCGCCGCGGCGCCCCCCTCCCTTTTTCACATGCTCGATTGCAGCTGCAGGGTGCGTGGCGAGGAGTACTGCACCCGCGTAATTGTCCAGGAAGCGATGGCGTCGCTAAAGGCCGCATCACACGGAGCACGCGGAGCCGGCCCAGCAACGCGTAGCAACGCGTAGCAACGCGTAGCAATGACAAGGCGGGAAGCTT